GGACCTCCAGAAATTTCGGGGTAGGATCAAGTACCTAGGATGAGTAAACACCCCCTGTTGGCCGGTCAAACCCACCATGAACCAGTATTACAGTGGTCCGGATTCCTTTTTTTACAACTGGTTAAAAACTTCAAATTAAACATGTAACATTGTAAATACATAGCTTTTGGTAGTTTAGTAGTAGTGCTAGTTGTTTTTGTTTCTCTATTTCCTTTGTTTTTATGACTTCTTAACTTTTCTCTTTGTTATGAGGAAGGGACAGGGCGTCCCGAATATTTGACAATTTTTATTGTTCGTGTCGTTCGTCATTTTCAGTGCTTTATATTAATTTCCTTCCGTGACCTTGTATCTACTTGGTAGATCCGACACTTAAGATATACAGTGTTATTGTTTTTTTTTTAGTGCAGTGCCTTATATATATATATATATATATATATACGAGGGCCGTTCAAAAATTACGCGGACTCTGCTATTACCTACTCTTACAGACGTCATATAGAATTGAAATTTTCTCAGGAACATATTTCTTAAAAATTCCAATAAATTCTAGGTAAATTTTTTTAATTTTATTTTATATCTCGCAAAATCATTGCTGTTTTGATACTGCTGATGGTGATGTACGGAGCACGACAAAAATGTTGAAAAACAGACATGCGGTATCCAAATTTTATTCATTTATTATCTATATTTCACGATATTCTTCAACAATTTTCTCTAAAATTTCTTTTTATTGTTTTATTATTAAGTATTTAGATTTCTGGCGTAATATTTGAAGTACCAACAGAAATATTGTAATTTTTCTCCGATGTTACCCCAACGAAATCAACTGCAAATTGTGATTTCACGGAGCAGCGTACTTTTATCAAATCATGAATCATGCTGGGAAAACGCAAATAGAGACACAAAATAAGCCTAAAGAAACATGTAGTAAACCAGCGGAATATCCGACAAATCTCTACAAAATGTAAAAAAGAATTTTAGACTGTTAGACCTTAGTCAAAAGGCAATCCGGGAGGGATGGAAGAAGTTCAGCGACAAAACACTGATCTGGACTGTTAAGAATGTGATTGAGATCGACTGAAGTCAAACTTTTCTTCAGAAATATCTGCAGTTTTGGGGTTTAATACAAACTAAAACACACAATAATAGTTTTATAGTTTTTAAGCTGAATCAGAAATGGTATATGGATTTTTATTCTGAGTAGATAAGGTAACCCAAATTATACAGGGTGAAATACTAAGGGAAAATATGGAGATAATGAAAGCTCCCATTTTTTAAAATGCCCGTGACGTTGAAGTTTTACTGTGCCGTGACTTCATGATATGTCCTGTTAAATCACTTGAAATTGATACCAATTTACAATATTTTGATATGAAATTTTGATGATCTTATATGAAAAGATTCTTATATATTATTTATGACTTTTTGCTTTATTATGTTGTCAAATATATCTTTTGTGCAACAAGTCCGCGTAATTTTTGAACGGCCCTCGTATATACAGAGAAAGGGTCAGAATCCGAATCTTAAGATAAACAGTGTTGTTGGTTTTTTTTAGTGCAGTGCTTTATATATATAATATATATATATATATATATATATATATATATATATATATATATATATATATATATATATATATATATATATATATATATATATATATATATATATATATATATATATATATATATATATATATATATATGAAAATAAAAAATAACAAGACAACAATGTTAGTAACATTTTACTAACATTGTTGCCTTGTTATTTTTTATTTTCATATTAACTACCGGACACTGTGATATTTCTTTTAATTTTTTGGATATATATATATATATATATATATATATATATATATATATATATATATATATATATATATATATATATATATATATATATATATATATATATATAGAAAGAGTCAGAATCTTTCTGAAATCTTATATATGAACTCAAAGAACAAAACTTTCGGCCTGCTGTCTATCCTCTTGAATAAATGAAACTTCCCAAGTACATGTATATTCTTATGCTAAAACATTCCACTTGAAAAAAATAGTTTCATCCGACACTGTTTGACAGAGCGTTGTGTTTTGAGTCAGAACCATCAACTTCTAATATGGAGGAGAGATTTTTTTTTTTAAAGAAATTAAGTTTTGTGAAGGCAAAACATTGAACTCAAATGGTTATAATGGAGGGGATATGAATTCAATAATTCCATTCATCTGAGTCTTAGGGAAGTTTTAAGCGGAGTATCCCACGAGAAATTTGTATAAAGTTTAATACTAATGATCTGGTGTTTTTGGTTTGTTTGTATGTTGTTTAACGTCCCTCTCGAGAATTTTTCACTCATATGGAGACGCCACAACTTGCCGGTGGACAGCTGCAAATTTTATCCTATACTCGGCACTTACGGCCATTGAGCAGTAAGGGATCTTTTTCGTGCCAGCACCTACTGCGACACGGGATCTCGGTTTATACGGTCTCATCCGAAGGACAGGTCTCCACGTCCCACAGTGGGATTCGAACCCGCGACGTAAGGATCAACTCCTTTCTTCTCAACTACAGAGCAGACGCTTTAACCACTGTGCCACGCAGGCGACATGATCAGGTGTTAAAGAAATGGATAAAACGCCGTGAATATTCCAAACTATGCAAAGGACAAGATAGGTTAAAACCCCTTTTTTGGCCCCTGGTTTTGGGCGTCTTTTAGAATGATGCAACAGGTTTATCAATGAAACCTGTTTTCACCCCTACCATAAAATGAGTATTGGTTCTAAGTTATGGGATACACATAGGTCACAGGAAGATCAGAAAATATGTCAATTTCCGAATTTTCTCATGTTTATGCAAAATTTTCATCGATTTTACAGCACAGTTTGTTTCAGAAATCATAGAGCACAAGCTTGCCCATCTACCAAATTTATATATTTCATACACTAGTATCAGATGCATCTTGTGTATAAAAATCTCAGATAGGCAAGCTTGTGCTCTATGATTCCCGAAGTGAAAAGTATCTTAAATTTGACGAAATTCCACCAGAATTGAGGAAATTCGGGAAAATGTCTTACTTTTGCACCCTCTTGTGGCCTCCACATAAGCTTTGAATCAAAATTAGTACTGGTTTTAAAACAAGCATCATTTTAAGTTCTTAATAACAAACTATCACAGTTTGAACTGTGTTCCGATTTTTACATCAAATAAGGGGCCAAATTCAGCCATTTCCTAACAAAAAATACTATAGTTAACTATAGTTTACTATAGTTAACTATAGTACCAAAGTAAAAACTTTGGAACTTTGATTTACTATAATAAAAACTTTGGAACTTTGATTTACTATAGTGAAAACTTTGGAACTTTGATTTACTACAGTAAAAACTTTGGAACTTCAGACTACTGGTTTTAAAACAGGCATCATTTTAAGTTCTTAATGACAAACTATCACAGTTTTGACTGTTTTCCGATTTTTACATCAAATACGAGGCCAAATTCAGCCATTACCATACCCTGTCCTTTATAAGTATTATTTGAAAATTCCCTGTTCCTGGAACAAAAAGCACTACTATTTTGTAAATGAACATCACAACTGTAAAAGTAGCTAAATCAATCCTTTTTCTCATCCCTGTTAATTCCATATAAATTTGTTTTGATGCAACGTGAAAATGACTTTGTGATACGATGGTCGTCCACGTGGTGCATTGGTTAGAGCGTCTGCCCTAGACTCGCGGAGTAAGGGGTTGATCTTTACGACGCGGGTTCGAATCCCGCTATGGGACGTGGAGACTGGTCCATCGGATGAGACCGTTTAAACCATGGTTCCGTGTCGCAGTAGGCTGGCACGAAAAAGAAAAAGGGCTCAATGGCCCTGAGTGTCGAGCATAGCTCAAAAATTTGCAGCCCTCCACCGGCAACTGGTGGCGTCTCCATATGAGTGAAAATTCTCGAAATATCCTATGATTCAGGATAATCAAGGTAAAAAAGTATAAAGAATAAATTGTTGGGACTGCCAACTCCGACATATCCCTGGTATTCGGGATATCAGTGTTTTAATAACAAAGTTCAACTGTAGTTCTAATTTTCCATGTGATGTTGATAGTTTAATTCTCCAATTAAGCCAACAAATATTTTCGAAGTAACTCATTCTACGTACAAATTAATGTGAAATATTCTATTGTTTCATCACCATATAATGTTGTTAGTGGTGATATCGCCAAAACGCGTACTTAGTAGACCACTTCAATTTTTGAAGCAGCAAATACTTGTTTTAAGTTTGAGCCATATATTTTAATGATAGACAACAATGTGGTTGTTCAGCAATATCACATTTTCCTTTTCGGTTGCATAGTACATGTATTTAGTACGGTCTTTCAAGTGTAAATAACGGTATTTATGATTTTTTTTTTATTATAATATGTTTGTTAATGTGTGATTACTCAATTCACATTCTAAACTTGTATTATGGCACTTGTTCAGATCGAAAGCTTGTGATCTTTAATACCTGGAAGCATAGTGAATATGAGTAGAGGAAAAATTCTTGGATTTTATGTGAAAACTGTAAAAAGTTTTGGAAAGGTTTTATGCAACAGTGTTCAAAACTTACTTCTGTGACAGAGACAGTAGGATTCTAGTTCTAGATTCTAGTAAAAAGATCACTTTTTATGGCCCATTGATGCCGTTACATGATTATTTTACCTACCTGACTTATTTCTGGCATATTGGTGAACTTTTCACTTTTTCACAAAAGACATATTTTACCAATTAAAGATGTCTTTCAAGAGCGCTTCTTTAAGTCTTTAATACTGACTTTGACTACATAGTAGAGGTTAAGACATATTCATGCATTAAGTTCTCTGGTACAATATCTCCGAGGAAAGAAGATATTTTTAATTTTTTGAATTTTTTTTATCAAGTTTGTAAATTCTCTTATACAGCTTTTCACTTTTTAGTCAAAAAGTAAATACATCTATATAAGATTTTAACAATAAAAAATTACACTGTTATTAGTTTTGTAATACTGTTTCAATAAAATAAACAGAATCCTTTAAGTAGAAAACTATTGTAGTTAAAAAAAGTTATATATCAATGCCAATCAAAGCTTTTTATATTATATGTAAAACACACACACACACACACACACACACACACAGAATAAAACTAGTATACAGAAGCATTATGCAATCTTCCTAAACTTTAAGTAGCAGGAAAGTTTTTAAGAACAATGAGACAGAGAAAACGTTGACTTTCTACAAAGGACTTAAAGAATTTAACGTGTGTGCAATTACTGCATTAGTTCCTATTCCGAGAAATATCTGTATCAACACAAAACAATTGGTGTCTGTCTCGTGATTTGATAGGCAACAGATGTAAACAATGGACAATATACAATTCTGAATTAAGAATCCTTGAACAGTAGTTGTTTTCAAGGAGGATATATTCTATTTAAGACTGTACGAGTGAAAGAAATTGCCTTTTGTTTTGATGAATTTTCCAGACTGTTTTCAAACCTTAACGTCAAATGTTCTGAGAGACTTGAAATCTGTTTAAGTGATGTAGAATATATTGTCATATTCTCACGTAAATTTAAAGACCACATAGTTATCATTTAAGGCAAATTTTCGAGAGAATATCATGTTATATCTCTCATGTGTCATATCAATTTACAGAAATTAATTTCGGAAGGATTTGGGAACTCACAAAAGGGTTTTTAGGTCCAGCAAACATTTTTATGAATGAGTTGTCATTATCGAAAACTCAAAAACGAAAAAAATAGTTCGTAGCTATAGTTTTCTTGGCATGACCAATTTCTGCCAAAGTTATTCATGACTTCGTAAAATTGGTTCATCCATTGAAGGTGTGCTGAGAAGGAACGGAAATTTGAATAGTCTTAGGGCTGCACGGATTCTTATTGCATTGCACTCGGAGTGTGAAGAAAAAGTTTCTAGCAATAATACTGTAAATATTCCTGTTGCATTATGTAGTCTACGTAGTCTCGATGATTTTGCAAATCGTCTCAACTGGTGGGCTCTTTACACCCAAGTGCTGCCACTTTTGGTTTTTGTGAAAATACCTACACTAAAGTTTTTGATAAATGTTCTATAGATACTCATAATGTGATGCAATTCTGTGGATATGGAGCATTTATTTCTGTTCCTGTATTTTGAGTATTATTCTACTTGTACTTTGTGCGTGAAACGTTAACTTATTCCAATGAAATATATAAAGATAACGAACAGTATTCAGGCTCAAAAGTCCATCAAACAATACAAAATAGGAGCAGAGCAAACACGGACCTCCAAACATCAGAGGTGGGATCAGGTGCCATGGAGGAGTGAGCATCCCCTGCCGACCAAATGATAAATTACATTGACAAACCCCTTTTGATATACCCTATATTTACATTGTGCAATCCATTTTGAAATAACATAATTGTAATTTACATATTTACATTGTGAAACCCATTTTGATATAGTAAATTACAAAACACACACACACACACACACACACAGATAGAGAGAGAGAGAGAGGTTACAAAAAATTCTGCAAAGGTTGTTTCTACAAAGAAAGCTCTCCTAATTCCTCCAGTCAAAAACGTTAAAGTCATTATACAGGATATCATTGAAATGGAATCAAAAATCCAGAAAAGCTATTTCCAGAATATCGAATTCGTATTGCGTTTGAATAAATATACATTTGTTGTGACTTCAAGCACACAACATCATTCTTTTGCAGTGAAATAATGGCCATATTAGCACCAGTGTAATATCTTGTGACGGTGTCTGGAGCATGACGTACCCCAGCTATTGCCTCTAATACGTATTTGTCATTCACAGTCAAAAAGACGTGAAGCACTTCTCCTCTTTCTACTTCTACAGAAATGAAAAATGCGTAATTTCCATCCACGGGTGCTGTAAATGTTCCTGTTGTAGAGTTATACCCGTCTCCAATATTAAGCAGAACGTTTTTTAGAATAATTATCTGTCCGCTTCTTGTTATGTTTTCGTCAATATCGTCCTTAGCAGTCACTGAAAAACCCACTAGGTGTTTATTTTCTGAAAGTAAATATTAAATCACATATGAATACATACATAATTAAGTTTATGTGCCGAAAAGCAAATAAATACATGTAAATAAAAATGATAAATATTACACGATATATTGATATAAAGATATAGTACATTACATGGGTCCTAACGGTAACATAATTTAGTAATCTTCTCCACTTGACAAATGAACTTGTCAGACAAAGTTCTCCGAAAAGTCGAAAATTAAAAACAAATGAGATAAAATTGAGGGCAAAAATGAACGAGGAACAAGCTTCGTTCTGTAAATAGCACCCAATAGACAAATGAACATCCCTGTACGTGGGAATGGAACCTCATCTCCTAACCAACCGAACATTACGCCATGATTTTTCCAATGAATCCATGGCATGCACCTTGGTCTGTCCCTCAGTTCAATCGTTGACATAGTATATATCCTCTGCACGTGTAACCTTCTCTTTAATGTTTATTTACTGTTTATCTAGTCTCAGAATACTGTTAAACACTGAAAACTTGTTATTACTGGTACTAATATTTTCAAATTCTATTAGCTTATATTTGTTTATTTATAAGTACGTTTTGTAGGTAGGTGTGTTGGGGGGATCACAGAACAATTATACACTGGAAACGTTCTAATTTTTCTTTTACACTATGTTGAATTCGATATACATTAATTTGTTTTAATTATCATTAATTTTATATTTCAATTTGCCAATTATTTAATACAATTTCTGTGCTTTTTTTCAACTTATTCAGTGGCTACTTCGCTAATTCTGTCGCGAAAAGACCGCGAATATTAGCATTTTGAGTACGTCTTGCGCCACAGTTAAATGTGAAATGATGGAGAACCCAGGTGACTGACTGAAAAAAAAAATGTGTAAACATTGTTCCCGGCGACATCATGTATCTACATTCACTGCAAATATAGAAGAACAGCATGTTTAAATCATATTCAGTGCACTTACTTTGCTTTTCTAGCTGTAATCTTTTCATTCGATCTTCCAAATCCGTCAATCTTCTTTCATATTCATACCATTTTTCATCGGAATTGTATATCATTTGACTTTCCACCTGAGCTGTACACATAAAAATTAAAATAACGACAAAGGAAAGACACAAACACCAGCGATAAAATATTACAAACATTTTTAACATGCAATTAAGACAGATGTTAAAATTATATCATTCTGTCAAACAAAGAACCAGTGTCTTATTCTTTGTTGCGTCACATCCTGAGATGTATGTATTAAACAATTCCTAACTAAACCACTTCCGTGGATGGATGGCAAAGAGGTATAGCGCACTTAATGTATCAGATGGTCTACAATATAGCGCATTTACAAACATCCAAAACATTCCTTTATTTTATGATATTAAGTAAATCTAGCTATAAACAAATACAAATTTTACCAGTACCCGGCAAAATTAGTCATAATTATCTGAAACAAGATCAAATCATGATTCAGCATTGTTTAAGTAAGATCAACTTTTTCAGAAAAGTGAAGGAAAAAAAAGAACCTCAACGATATTCTTAAAAAGAACCTCCCAATTCTTTATGCAAACAAAGAATGGTAGAGTTCTTTAAGCGAGAATATTCAAGGATATGGTAGAAAGAACCAGATTGGATACCCCATTACCTAACGAGGGTTTTAAAACTTGTTCTGGCAGAAGATATCTTCTCTGTAAGCAGGCAGTTTAAACAACCCAATTACAGGCTACAGCTATACGGAATATATATCTCATCAGCTGCAAGATGTGTCAAAATCAGTACGCTAGGGAAACGGGAGATTTCCTCAGAAGAATTCAAATAGTTGTCAGCTTAAATCAATGAAATCAATATATGCGTATAAGTTGTTCCAAAAAAAAAAAAAATTGACCCTTGAATCTGACTGTTTGAATCTGTTGGTCCAGTCTAGAGAAGTAATAAAAGAAAGCTGTGTTACAACGCACTTTGAAAAATTACGCACTTTGAAAAAGTTTTTCAAAGTGCGTTAAATTGGAACCAAGTTAACGCACTTTGAAAAAATAAAATTTCTTTTCAAAGTGCGTTAATATCGACCATATAATTTAACCCCCCCCCCCCCCGCTTTTCTTTTTTGCAAAAATATACATAATATAGGCATTGAAAATTGGGGCATAATGTCTTTTAATTCAGTCCCCCATTCCACTTTCAATTACCCCCCCCCCACTTTCAATTTGCTATCGACGCCTTTGTATAAGAAAGATAAAGAGTTGGGCTTAGAGACCTACCCGTCTTCTCCTCGTTCTCGATGAGGGTAAATCAATTCATAAGTTTTTCAAAAGATATATAACAAATTAATGCTCTCTATTACTAAAATCTAAGTCAAGAATTTTTGTTTTACACATATTTTTTTTAAATGCATTAAGTGTCTCCATGGTAAAAAATGCGGATGTACAATCTCAATGCACTTTAAAAAGATTTTTCAAAGTACGTAGAGTTTGTCCCAGATTTAACGCACTTTAATTTTTTTTTCAAAGTGCGTAATTTTTTCAAAGTGCGTTGCCACAAAGCAGCGGTGTAAGTGGGCTTACTGCTAATAATTTATACCACTGTATACCTGCACTTTCTAAAGATAGTTAGGGTATATTGTTGTTATTCTGTTATTCTGTCTGTCACACTATTTTCTTCCAAAAAATCTTTCATTTTAAGGAATAGCCAACTCTGTATACGTGGCTCTGAATATTAGACTGAGATATGGTATAATGCATTATACAGTATATAATCAAATACCTGGCCTATTGATGTTAATCGGCTTTGAAAAAGCATTTTATACAATCTCATGGAATTTTATATATCAAACCCTTGACTTTTTTAATATTGGACCTTCTTTTATAAATTGGATTAGAACCTTCTATAATGGTATTAAAGGTCATATGAAACGGTTCAAAACAGTAGGATTTTACATTTTAAACATAAAGACTTGTATGAAAGAATGTCAAATTACGTTTAATATATTTTTTTTTTTGCCTTTGCTTAACTGAAAAATGAAGGCCTAAACTTGTCCACTTGATAAATTTGTTACCCGCTTATCGTTCTTGATTTTGTGTTTTTATGACGTCACAAAGACCCATTGATGTAAATAACGCATTAGATATAGTGTAATTTTACCGTTTTTTATTGAGTTAATTTTAGTCATTTTTTGGGGATATAAATGTGATTATGTTTTTAGATGAGCTATCTGATTCTAAAGTACAATTTACTCTATTTACACTAATCGTTATTTAGCCCAACAACTGAAAACGAGAGCTTTCCATCGTAGGATGATCCTGATGAATATTCCGTTGAAATCAAGAATTTTCTCCTCCAACTATGATTACTTATTTTAAATTAGTACTTTAGAAACAAAAATCTTCTTATTTCTATACGATTCATGATGTTTTTTTTCATTCCTAGTGAAAGTGTATAATTAACAACAAAAAACAGCGTAATTAATTAACATATTGACCTGAAGCTTCTTCATACATGTGATATGTACAGGCTGTACGCAAAATGTACAGTTTTTTGAGCCCATTCATCGTGTACCGGCGGGACACCAAAATTCACGGAATATGAAAATTTGTACAGTATTTTGAATTTCTCGCTAAATGCCGCCATTTTCCTCTCATTCTCGCTCGCGAGACACTGGAAAACGTCACCTGTGTTTGACACTTGACCTTCTGATGTGTAGTGTACACAAACCATCACGTGCGAAGGTGTGAACTGCCAATTGGGATAATTATCTTGCTATAAATCCGTATCAAATACCCCTTTAGGTAGCTTTATTTTTTAAGGGGTACTTAATTACTGTTAATGTTTCGTATACGTAACTTGATTGAAAAAAATTAAGCCAACTTCTAAAGTTGATATACATGACTTTAGTCTTAATATACGTGAATCTGACCCAGATCTTCGTAGGTATAAAATATACGATGTTTATTACAATGATTATGATGGAATTTCAGAAGAATTTAAGCGATATTTTATACCATTTTTTTGTACCGTTTTTTGATAGGCAGTGTACAGTTTTTTCACCCAAATTCCAGTTTTTTTATGGCTCCTGTACAGTTTTGTGGTCTTTGACTTATCACATGTATGCTTCTTACAATAAAAATTTTAATGGGCATGCAAAATCTGTAAAATAAAGTTGTGTCATATATTGAGAGGGAAAAATATCCAGCTCAAGGGTACCCCTTATTCCCAAGTAAACACGGGGATATTGAAGTTCATGATGAACATGGATCAATGAAAAGACGGCGTAGTTGAATGCACGCTTTCTGCAATCTGAAACACGAGGACTAATGTAAAACGATATAGAAATAGGGGTTTATGACGACATCATCGTAATAAACATGATTTAAAAAAAAATGGCGCAAAATTACCGGCATCACGATCGCGAGTACGTACACGTACATGTATACATGTACATGTATATACATGCACTGTAATGTTACGGTACTGATACTTCTAACTGACTGAGCAATTGCAGTTTGAAAATACTCATACAGTTCGTGCATAAATTGATCAGTTAAAAAATCCATACCCCCCATTATTTGCGCGATTGAACCTGAACAATTTTTAAAATTAATATTTTTACAGTTAAACATTTTCTTTTTATATCAGACTATATACTCTGTGTTGAAATAATCTGAAATAAATTTAATCAATTCGGCCTGTAAATATATTCACACAGAAAAGTAGAATTGCATAGATAGAATTGTGTTTGATGTCTGACTTTTTAAAAATTATAACGATATTAAATATAGTTACAGTGTTACGTGTATACATGTACTGACTTTTTGGTAAGAAAAATATACGGGAAGAGAGAGAGAGAGAGAGAGAGAGAGAGAGAGTCATCGAGACAGGGAAAGCCAAAGAGAGAAAAGGGAAAGCGATTGAGAGAGGGGGAAAGCGAGAAAGCGATAGAATCATTTCATTTCCCATGAATAAATGAAATAATTTATTTGCAGGTTTAGTTTCACTTTCACACACCGCGGTCAATCGAATTCAGCTAAATACTTATAAATTTTAATCAGAAAACAAATCATCAATATTCTTGTGTTAGAAATTTATTCAATTGTAAATTATTTGACAGCGTCTATATTCACTTAATTACTCTAGTACAGACTCCCTCTCTCTGTTTTTTTTTCTCTCTCTCCCTCTCTCCCTCTCGATTGAAGTGTCGAAGGACAACAATAAATTACAAAGATAAAACATGCTAAAATCTTGCAAATATGCAATAGGATGTTAAAAGACAAATACTATCTTGTTTGAACGTCGTATATTTATGCGATATTTTAGCCAAGATGATGATATTTCTTAAAAATTACGCTGCAAAAGACATGATCGCTTGTATAAATGTTAGTACTGAATGTAGCGAGTGGGTCTTACTGACGTCATAAGCAAAGGGAAATAAGCCGCGCTAGTTGAAGTTCATTTTCGCAGTCAAGTAATTTTGATCGACTCTGCTGCCGCTAACTTGCATAAAAAATCCAAAATGTAATTTCAGGCTTATTAAAGTTGCTCAGATGAACTCATTTCCGTATACAACCCAAAATGCTCAGGGCATTGTTTCATATGACCTTTAAATCAAGTGTTATACAAAATGGATTTACTTCAGACTATCTTTTCCCCCAGAGAGGCTGTGGGCAAGGTGATCCAATCTCACCATATCTCTTTTTGCTATTTACTGAAATTCTTGAAATCTTAATTCGAAATAATCAAGATATTAAAGGTATAACAATCGAGGGCGAAGAGTACATACTTTCGCAATATGCTGATGATACCTCTATTATTTCGGATGATTCACTAAAATCCATGGATGGTATTCTCCGAGAATTAGATTATTTTGCTGATATGTCAGGCTTAAAGATAAATTTCTTAAAAACTAAAATGATATGGATTGGAAGTAAAATATTCTCAAGGGAAGTATTCCATCACTCGAGGTGGAAGCTTGATTGGGATAATTCAAATTTTGATCTTCTAGGAATAAAATTTTCAGTAAACTTGGGTGAAATGCTTGATTTAAATTATTCCATAAAACTAAATGAAATTAAAACATTGTTAAATAAGTGGATGTTGAGGAAACTTACCCCTGTTGGAAGGTTAACAGTACTTAAAACTTTAATATTACCTAAACTAAACCATTTAATTCTTACTTTACCAAACCCTAAGTCAGAATTTTTAAGATGTTTGATACAGAAATGTATTATTTTTTATGGGGTAGCAAAATTCATAAGGTAAAGAAAAATGTTATAATCCATTATAATATGGAGATCTTAAAATGATTGATTATACAGAATTCATTTCTGCTCTCAAATCAAGTTGGATCAGAAGACTTATTCACTCGGATGCAAACTGGGTAAAACTTTCTGAAGCTGATATAAAAGTAGATAAAAAAAATCTTTGGATAAGGGGTTCTGATTACATTCTGAATCTTTCAATAAGATTAAATAATTTTTTTTGGAAGTAAGTTCTGTCAAGCTGGGCAAGGCTAATTGGGATAAATCAAGAAAACGACAGTCGTGTGCTTTTTGAACATATACGGAATAATCCAAAGATTAAAATTAATAATAAATCCTTCTTTTGAAAAAACAATTTTAATAAAGGCATTGTTTTTCTTATTGACCTCTTTAAAAATGAGGGTAGTTTCATAAGTTTTGACTCCTTTATAAACTTGAAAGTGAAAACAAAATTTATTGATTATAATGGTCTTAGAACAGCAGTGTTAGATAGACTGAAAAATATAAACAATAATGAAATTGAAAATATAAAATATCCAATTTAATACATATTCCAAATTCCATTTTTGTGTATTATAAACATGAAAAAGGTTGTAATGACATGTGCAATATATTTATATGTAAAAAGAAAGAGCCAGTCAACTCGTTCAAAAAATGGAAAGAAAACAGTGTTTCCCTTTGTGAAGCAGACTGGAATAAAATATTTGAACTTCCTTTTAAAACATCAAAAGAATCGAAATTTCAATGACTACAATTTCAACTATTACATAAATTGATTGATTGATTGTATGTTGTTTAACGTCCCTCTCGAGAATTTTTCACTCATATGGAGACGCCACCACTTGCTGGTGGAGACCGGTGGAGACCTATACTCGGCACTTACGGCCATTGAGCACACTCGGCACACCTCGGCCGATTCGTACCTCTTCGAAGGTGACGGAATCAGCCGAGGTTTGCCGAATGCCATTGAGCAGTGAGGGAACTTTTTCGTGCCAACACCTACTGCGACACAGGACCTCGGTTTATACGGTTTCATCCGAAAGACCGGTCTCCACGTCCCACAGTGGGATTGGAACCCGCGACGTAAGGATCAACTCCTTACTTCGCGACTCTAGAGAATACGCTCTAACCACTGCGTCACGTGGGCGACAACTATTACATAGAATCATCCCAACTAATCATTACCTATTCAGACTTAAATTGTCTGATTCTCCAGCATGTACTTTCTGCAGAAGTGACAAAGAAACAATTGATCACTTATTTGTAGAATGTTTTTATGTAAAAGAACTATGGTGCACTATTAAAGAATGGATTTTAAATAAGTTTAATATCCATTTAAATAATTAAGTTTAATAACCATTGTAGTTTTGATAGACAAGCAATACTATTTGGTAAATATGAATGTCTATAAATTTCAAAATCTTTTAATACTTATTGTAAAACAGTTCATTTTTTCTAGTAAATATAAGAAGGTTTCAAAAATATATGTTGACGCTGTATTAAAAGGGATCACAGATAGAATTTTTATTGAAAAAGTTTTGTTGTTTAAAAGTTGTAGATATGAGGAATATGAAAGGCATTGGCAAAATATTTGTGATGCATTGTAATTAATACAGTTATATATACTTCCTATTACCTATTTGATTCAGAGGAAAAAATTAGATTGATCATTTATCATTTTGTATTATTTGTAATATAGAATAATTGTTTTCTTTTGTGGACCCCCCCCCCTTTTTGTTTCTGTTTTTTTTTTTCTTTTAAAACAACTTTCACAGTATCTTTGTGTAAATATGATTAAGACAGAGTATGTGTAATTGGATGTTAACTTGTACCAAATGGTGAAATTTATCATAAATGTGTTATAACAATAAAAAACATGTATATTTAAAATAAGATACAGACATATTTATGAAAATTATAGAATATCTATAAAATAAGTTTTACCCCTTGCACATCTTAATAACATTTTTAAATGTGCTTTTAATAAACAAATTGTTTCGCAAATACTTTAAAATTGAGGATTTAGGAAAAAGGAACGCCATAGGTTACACATAGTTATATATTTCCCTCAGGAACAAAAACCATATAATTGTAATTTTATATTCTAGTATTAAGCATTATTTAATTATAGTCATATTGGAAGACTATATTGTAATTTTTAAGAATATTTTTGCATATCATTACCAATCAAAGATAGTGATAGGAATTGATTAATTGCAAAATAATTTCAGATGTTAAAATGAAATTAAAAACCTCAATAAAGAGAAAAGAATAAAACAAGTGAGAAGAATAAGATTTGTCTTTTCAGTAGCATTATGCAATTCTCCACAACTTTAAGTAGGTAGAAGGAAATAGCTCATAAGAGCAAGGGGATGATGTAAACGTTGTCTCTGCATAAAGAATGTAAAATTATAATCATGCACTCAATAACTGCTTTAGTTCCTGTTTCAAGGAAACATCTGTATTATTACAAAATATTTATTGTCAGTCTTCTGATTTCATGGGCAACAGTCATACAATGGGCACTATATATTTCTGCAATGTGTACCAGGAATCCTTGCATACGAGGGCCATTAAAAAATACGTAGACAACAATATCGCTTTTTATTATATTTTTTCAGAAATTTGAGATGAATGCACGATCATATACAATGTATAAAAACATTTATTTTGCCGATGTGTGCATATTCATATCCCGCTATCACCTGCATATGGTGTTCAATCTCCTAGCTGATTGATACTCAAGAGCATGCTCCGAGTACGATCAATTTTTTTAAACGGAGGCAGACTACTGACAGATAAGTTGATGTTACAGGGATTTCAACAACTTCGTTTAAAATCAGAATTTCATAAATTCTATGGTCGTTACATTGACCTTGTTAGCAAATATAACCTATCATTGGGTCGTATTTTTACTGACTTGTTTCATAACAATTGTCAGGCCTTTGTTTTAATACCGAATTTGACTACGGAATGTTACGTCTACCCGATCAATACATAGGGTTCATGGCGGGTTTGACGGGTCAACAAGGGATGCTTACTCTTCCTAGGCACCTGATCCCACCACTGGAATCTCCAGGGGTCCGTGTTTTATGCCCTCTTCACAGATTTGTATTGCTTATAGATTTTTTGAGATCGATAAATGTTCGTTATCTTCAATTTTACATTAAATGGAACTGATGATACGTAAATTTAAAATAAACATGTTTTGTCGCCATTTTTACACAAATGTTAGATTAACTTTTGATACTCGTGTTTCCTGCTTTCTACTGCATTTTCAGAGCTTATTTGGAGTTTTCCCGAGTGCACCTCAAAATTACATTGCTACTCACTACTTTTTTTTTCAATGAGGACAACTATATCTTATTACTGTTCAACAAAACAATATGTTGTATCGCAATTTGGTATGTGAGATAACTTTACTAAATTCATTGTTTAAATTTCATTTCGTTTTAGCGCAATGTGAGAGTCATGACAATTAAGTATTGAATTATTATTGAATGAGACTACATCTATCAAAAAATAATAATTCAATGCTTATATTTACTTTTTTAACTAACTGCCTTACATGTAAAGGTGATTTTTTTTCTTCAAAATCCTTGCATTGCCCTTTGGGTAAGTTACAATTAATGGAAGAGCCATTCCAACAGCTTTTTTTGTAAATGTGAAAGTCGTCCTGCCGAAGCTTTCCAAACATTTCATAAGCAAACTACATGAGGAATATAAATATATTGGACATTATATTGCATATTGTTCAAAACTTATAGAATTTGCACGTATCATAATCTTGACACAAGGTTACATTTTAAACATTTTTATGAAACACTTCAATATCCATTTACATAACCATATTTTATTAAGGAAAGTATGTTAACCAGGTAAACGATTAAATAAAAGACAACATTATTTATACGGAATATATCAGCACCTGATTTTAAGGAATAGGGAAAATAAATACATATTGATAAATATATATGCATGCAAATAATACTTATTATTCTTGTGCAGAATTCATTTGACTTCATTCATAATACGTGTGATGTACAAAACAGTTTATGACGTTGATAAAATCCATATCACAGTTGCATTTGCAAAAGGAAAATGACAAAAAGAACTATTTTTTTTAAAATGTAATTTTTAATATTTTTCTTAAATTTTCCATTTCATGAAATGAAAAAAAAACTAAATGATTAAATTGTTTTCCTGTAAAATATTTGGAAAAAAACTTCGGTTGTCCGTATTTCAAAAGTTTCCTAGGCCAAGGAAAGTAAGAAACCAGAGAAACTATTGGCCGTGTATCGAATATCCATTGTTCTGGATTTAACTGGATGTGACTTGATACATACACGATCATTTTTTCGCACTAACAGGCTTACCATATTGCTACCTGTATTAAAGGAATCCCCAATTTTTCCTGCCAAGGCCTCTGCAACAAAATTATTATTGACAAACAAATTTATACTGAAATACGTATTTTTTGGCACTTCCACCGCGAAGAAAAAGACGTAATTTCCAGTCACAGGCGCTGTAAATATTCCTGTAGTAGGGTTATATCCGTCTCCAACATTACTCAAAACATTCTTGAAAACAATGATCTCGTTTGGTCCCTTGATTGTTAGTTTTTCATCATTCTCTGCTGTGACTGAGAAGCTCACAACGATTCCGATTCGATTCACTGAAAACAAATTAACAAACGTCAAACATTACAGCATTTCACTCCATAATAGTGGTTACTATTGAGAAAAGTAGTAGTCATGGTATGCTTTTAAAACCCAGTATGTAATTTGAAGAGAAATGTACTCTGCGAAATTTTTAACCTGTGCATATCAGTAGGTTTCATCAATTCCGAGAGATAGGGGGGGGGGGGTATTTGAATATACTTACGTTGATTAACCTGCCGTAGTCGAATGTTTTCTTCTTCGACTTTCCTCATTCTCTCTCGTAAATCACAGTTTTCTTTATCGGATTGGGTATTATATATCAGCTGACTTTCTGATTGCTTCACATCTATATCTATCAGTAGGCACACGATAAAAAATAAAGAACTAAAATAAGAGCAAATTTTTCCAGCCATGACTTCCTTAATTTTAATTTCCAATGTTATGATTATTTTTAAACTCTTAAATAAGCCAAATATCGCAAAGGCTCTCTATAAAAAGCCACTTATTTAACTTGTATTTTCCTTGCGTTGTACGAAATTTGACACCATCTGATATGGTTATATTGCCCATGCAATGTAATACTTGCCGACTTGCGGAAAAGAGTATTGGAATGCCGGTAGTTTTTTTTATCTACTTGTAACCGTGTTTGTATAACAAATGTTTCTCGACGAATCAAATTCAACTAATTTACATGTAGTATATAATATTCCATAAGATGTTGGCTGCGCGGAATTTATGCGCGCACTTCTCTCCATATAAGTACTTAGCATAAAACATTAATATGAAAAAATCAATACTGGACGTAATTGAAGGTTCATTGACAATTTTCATCTGGTCTTATCGACAATCTTTGATTTTTTGTTTACATCATACATCAATGAGTCATTAAATAGTACATGCCTTTGAGGGTAACAGTGATGAAATTGACACCTCTCAGAAAATCATTGTCAACCTCCGCTTAAGCATTCAGTGACAGTGGTCTCCCTCGAGGTTTTAATTGATAAATAATGAAAATTTAACTAAAGAGAAATGAGAGTGTTCCGTAAGGAAAATCCAATTAAACTTCAACTTTTAGCCCAAAGAATGATAAATTGATGATTTAAACCCCTGCTTCAAGGGTGTAGGCAAAGGGGTGTTCGTCACAGCCCCAATAATTTTGCAAAAAAAGGAAAAAAATAAATATTAAATAAAATGAAAAATAAAAAAATGAAAAAATAACCAAAGTTGCAACGGCTATATCTGCTCATTCGAGCGGTAATTATAACGGGAATCGGTGATCAATGGAGCGGCAGAGCGTGCATTAAGTTACTGTTCACGCAGACGCAAATGTGTGTCTCTGTACCTGTACCTGGCATGTGTAAACAATGAACATACACGGTGTTGTACCTAAACGGTTGCTATCAAAACAGAAAAGCGTTCATTGTTTCTATTCGTAAATTATACGGCCGCTAGCTGAAATAAATATGTTGGAGGAACTTGTAACAAGAGGTAAAATTGTCAGAAAGTGACCCCAAATCGATTAAGTCTCAGAAAAATCATTGTGCACGGAACAAGTACGGGGTTTCTTAAAATGATGCCAGATGTATTTCGTAGAACAACCGTCTAAAAATTTAAATATAGTAAAATTTCCGAAGTATGTACCCATTCGCAAGTCAATATACTCCAAGTTTCCATGCTTCTTTTCATCATTTATAGGTTAGTTTGAGTTCATTTTTATAAAAAGGGTGTATTTTGAAAGAGATTTTTGGACAAAACACGATCTTCTTAAGTTACGGTTACTATCAGAAATGTTGGTATGTAGGCACCGGCTGCTATTTGAAATATAACTTGTTTTTCAATCAAGAAAGAGAAAATTAGAAATCCTATGGCTGCACAGGCCTTAATGCACTTGATTGACAGAGGTACATGTACACAGACCAGGTATTTTTGAAGGCGGTGCTTAAAATCTCTGCCTTTAAGGAGGCTGGCTGGTCAACAAATTAACCATCGGATATAACTTAATTTTTTAGATATGATATCTTAAGCTGTCAACTATTATTTGGCAAAGAAAAATTTCATACATTTTTGTTTTAAAATTTGATCATTTTTGTATATCTTTATATGGAGCTCTTCTTCTAAAGGAGATCAATATAGTCTGAAAATGGCCACAACCCCCCAGCCATCTTAACGACATCTACAACTTCCTTTTGAAGTCAAATCTTGGAGTTTCATGCCTTATTAGCAAAGATAAAATCTACACTTCATACAAAAATTCACTTCATAAGGTCTTCACCTCATAACTTTAAATTTATGTTAGATTACATGTCTACAACATAAGGAACTTATTTGTCGGATTCTAGTTATTTTTTATGTTGCAGCCAACAGACAAGTTTCTGGTCGCCGCCAGTCATTTATGCGGTGGCCGCAGGAAAACTATTTGGCCGCCGCCAAATATATTTTTCTAGCGGCCGCCGAATAATTATGTGGCGGCCGCCAGATAAAATATTTTTCTTACCTTGCACCTACAATGTACTGGCTTACCTAGCAATGTGATGCTTTTAAGTATACTTTTTATTCATGTATGTATATAAAATTGCATTTATTTTTTAATCTTTTTATTTCAAAATATGTTGTTTAATTTCAATATTATGATATTAAGGTATATTTTTATAAAACATGTAGTTGTATAACCTTATTGATGAAAATGTATTGCATATACCTGTATATGACGTTTTTACATTAATTTTACCTATCTCATGTCTACATATCTTCTCATTTGCATTTTTCGTATGGGAAAATGTTAAATATCGATTATAAAGTTTATGTATAAACTGTCGATTAATTATGATGTTAAAACTTTCTATATATGTTTACGTTTTATAAGTTAAATCCATCCTCTTTTAAAGAAATGTAACATTTGACACACCAGAAAAATATCGCACCTTAAAAAAACATTCGCATAAGATAAACACCATTTTCCGTAAAAAAAAAAAAAAAAAAAATGTTGAGATTGGTTAATTTATGTCTTAATTCATATTTATCCTATTTCATTTACGATTTTAACAGTTAAAAAATCCACTTTCCCCCTATGAAAATGTCTGCTCCCAAAATATACGAAATGGGGGTATACTTAAATTTTCAATTATCACGTGACCGGAAAATGCGTAACATAAATTATTTTCATATTTTTAGGAAGATAAGAAGTTTTTCTACATAATAACAAAATTTCATAAAATTTCGTGAGGGGCCGAAAAACGGCCTTATCGAAACTCCCCTTGTGGATGGACAGAATGACAGATTACTATAGGACACCTGCATATCCTTAAAGGGCTCTAACTAGTTTCATGTACACATATTTCTAGTGATTTTTTTTTTACCTATGTGTGTCTTTCTTTTGACTCAGTATTAGAGTATTAATCCCCATGCCTGGTCTTTTACATTGTCTATCTCTGACAATTAATTGAAAATAATGCAAGGCTTCTGTTGACTTTAATTTATTTGACATGTACATGATGAACAACAGTACAAATGTGGGGGGAACAAGAATGCTATAGTGAGAAGACCTAGACACTACAAAATACAACAGACCACGTCTGTACGAGAATGCCAGGGATAGACGTTAACTTTCAGATTCACTTGACCTCCGGGCAAGTGATCTCAAATTTTGACTTGTCCGAATGCAAAACTTGGTTGCCAAAATAGGAAAATAATTTATTGCCGTAAATATTATGATAAGAAAAAGTGTGAACAAATGCACTACTATAAATCTGGCAAGTTGAGGTACCTGAAAAAATTTAGATGGTACGTTTGGACATAAATGTATACTACCACTTTCCTTGTCGATTTAATCTGTAAACACACACTGCAATGCATCAATAACCATCCGTTTCCTTTTTAATAAAACATCATTGTTTGGGTAGGATCGTTTTGTTTTGTGAATTTTGATTGATGCAACGCTAAGGAAGATCGTTGCTATGAAAAATACATATCTTGATCAGGATAGGTCATGTTATATTCTGTCAGTGTGAATGAATTAAGTAGTTAACAAAGTACGTAGAGCGTATTTAACATGAAATAAAAAAGAATAACGAACCCGATTTTTAATGAACGATATAATCTAGAAATCCAAGGGAGCAATGTCAGTCACGTATCTGGCGGAAATCAAGTGTTCAATCTATTGTTTTATTTATAATTAATGTAAGATAGATACCAACATACATTTCTATCAGAAAAATTCACTTGCCCGATCGGACAAGCAAGTTGACAGTTTCACTTGCCCGAACTGAGAATTTACTTGTCCCGGGCAATCGGACAACCGTTAATGTCGATCCCTGAATGCATCTCAGAATAGAGAAGAGACACAGATGTAGGATATTGATATAACACAGACCACGTGTGTCTATAGAAGAATATACAAAGTATCATCTCAAAAAAAAAAGAAGAGATGTTGATATACCAGAGACCATACGTGTCTGCTATGAATCAACTTTCTAACAGAATTATCTTTACAATGTTAAATGAAGATTTACTTGATTTTAAATATTGTCAAATCAAAGTTAACCAAATGGAAAAAAAATTTAAACACATGAATAAAATAACTAAATCTAATCGAAATAGTACATCAAAAATACAAAGAGCTTTGTACAAATGTGAAGAAATTACAATTCTGTTGATTAATTGTACCATGAAATCATTTAAAAAATTCTTCATTTGGTTAGCCTTAAAAATACCATTGATGAATACTTATAAAGTTTCCTCCCAAGAATAACTTTCAATTAAACATCTTAATTTAAAACATAGGAAATTGACATAAATGTGATTAATGAGAAAAAACATCTCATTTTTAGAACACATTTTTAGGTCTGTGAAACCAATATATTTAATTAATAAACTTAATTCCAATTTTGTACTCATCAAAATAATGTGTATATATAAGAAAGGCTAAAGATTGTCATGATCAATTGTTGCACATCAGAAAACTTTAACATTGCCCCTTCCAAGGACATTGCCACTGTCATGTAATTAAAACTCTTCTAATTACGAAATCTAACTTTGCCTGTAATTACAGATTGTGTCTCTTTTGATTATGCTCTATAAAATGTCAGGAATTTTTGTTTACTTATGAATACAATAAATGAAATTGATGCATGTACATCCATAATATATTATTATGCACTATAACGCATTATTTTCATACTGAACTATTCACAATTCAATGCAAATGAATTAATTGAACTAATTCAGAAATGGAAACTGTATACATTTATACTTTTTCCTTTCAATATAGAGGGTCACCAAAATTCTCAATATTGAAACTAATACTATGTGTATTTACTGTAAATAACTCTAGCTTGTCCAAGAATTGAGATCTGGCAGCTGGCAAACTACCCCAAATCTTTTACAGGCCAATGTGCTACAGTCCTACACTTCAACATCTCAGCTTATTCACACATTACATGTACTTTCACAATCACTAGACAATTGATGCATACTAATACCAATCAAAATGGCAGGAGAATTATTTAATTAAATGCTTTTCTTTTGAGTGCATTGTGTATTTACATGCACTTTATGAAGATCAATAGTCTAAGTGCACGTAAAGCAAACATATTAATTTCTGATTACATGTATTAAAATCATTAAAACGCATTAATACAAATAAAATGCAAATAAATGCAATAAAAATTCAGAAGAAAAGATAAGCCAAACGAATGAAAAACATCATATTCCCATTATGAGAGACTCTACAAAAATCTAGTCTCAAGGCAATGTTTTTGACAATCCAGAAGAATTGAGTTACTTAGTAGTATAAAACTTATAAAATATTAAGGAAAATAAAATAAATATTAGCAACATTATGTTTTTAACACATACATAATAACATAACAGCATTGGACATTTTTCTTGAGTTCCTGAAAATTAATGATGTCAAGGGAAAAAGAAAGAAATTACTATAAACAAATTCAATAAAGAGTGTATTTAGACTACACGGGTACTTCAATTTCAATTAACAACCTACAGTAAATATCCTATTCACTACAATACAGCACAAGTTCACAACCAGAATTCTGTAAATGTGGTTATCACAGAGAATGTACTGAGAATTGTCTTCTGTATTAATGAGCAAAAAATAAAATACAAACACAACATGTGGGATTCACAACATTCTCTATATGACTACAACCTAATGTTTTGTAAAAATCCATATAAAAAATTAGAGAAACTAGTTTATTACAAGCCTACAGTACTATTATTAAGCAAATCAAATGTCAGACTTGATCGAAGTCAGATTTATTATTTCTCAGATTTTTTTTCTTTCTCCTAGGATTATTAAAAATTTCCCTCAATATGAAGGTCAAGGATGATGCCAAAGGTCAAAGAGGACTCTAAATTATGGGATGTAAATAAAATATTCATTGTCTCATTGCAATTCATTACCTTATACTTTTGGATATGCCATTCTTTGTTTTATTTATTTTGTTTGTTTTGTTCGATTTTTGTCTGGTTTGTTGGCATTTTTTTTTTTTGCTTCTTCATGTTCTAGCACATACATGTATATCCCTGGCATTTCTTGGGGGAAAAATGAATTCTGCACTCTACATCCTTTTTAGGCAGTATGTTTTAAGATACTTTTAACATATCATTCATGAATTAATACATAAGACACAAAACAATTTTAAGAGATCCTTGAAATTCTTGGACATAACAATCTAAACTTGAAAACTAGCTAAACTTGAAAAAACATATATAACCTATCTAACCAAGAAATACAAAATGGTAACACATGAAATCTACGAGATCAAAATAAATAAACCATGGATACAAATCTGCTAACATACAAATAATCCCTGCAGATTTGGATTTTCTCCTTCAGTTTCAAAACAAAAAACTTTTAATCCAGAAAGTGGAAGTCTCTGTTTGCTCTCTCTTTTTACAGATCTATTTATATACAAAATCATGTACGTCACAACCAATTATCAAAAATATTAAAAACTATCAACTGTAAAGGAGAGACAACTCTTATGCTAAAATTACAAATTAAAATGAAAGTCAAAATCAATCTGATATCATTCCATAACAATCTTCTCTTAGTAATAATAAAACGGTTTTCACAGCTTAAAAATACTTTCTCAAAAAACCCTGTTCTTATACTTTGAAGATACATACAAAATTTTTCTCAAGGACACTTTCAACTGCAAATTCAGTTCAAACTAAAAGAATCTAGTCTGCAAACCAAGAGAGTTCCTTCTCTGAACTTACACTACTCCTAGGGCACTCCTGCTTTCAGCTGCCTCCCAATGAATGATACTAGCTGTAGAACCCTATATAGATGGTCTTCTAGTGATTCATTACCATTGACACAGTTTTCTAATGCCTGTGTAATGGATGAATAACATCAGCAGTAATACCACAATCCGACATTCTCTCTTGTGGTTTACTTCATAACGAATGGAGAAGTAGCCTATAAATCCAGCTAGTACCAGCTGAAATCCCACAGTTTGGCCATTTTTTGTGTGACCCTGACAGCTAGCAGCAGCTGAAATCCCACACTTATGCCATTTCTTGTATGACCCTGACAACTAGTAGCAGGTGAAATCCCCCAGTTATGTCATTTTTTTCTGTGACCCTGATAGCTAACAGCAGCTGAAATCCCACAGTTTGACTGTCTTGTCATAGGATCCTGACACGATAATGAAGTCATTAAACTGCATGCATGTCACCCCGTCAGTATGGTTCCTCAGTGTAACAAGTCTCTCCCCCGTCTCCAGATTCCACACCTATCAACATCAATTCCAAGCCATTAATATCATCAAATATTAATTTTTTTTCTGCCTTGCTGGCATTTTCATATAATATGTAATTAGAAAATATATAAATACTGTGGCAGCATGAACTGAAAAAAGTTTTATGGACAGAACAAATTAAACAATGAACAAGAATGATAAACTTATCTGTGATTTACAGCTCGTAAATGCATTAAACAGCCTAGATGAAAGGGACACACGTATAATCACTTTTAAAGAGTGTTACTGTGCAGTAAATAACTAGTATGGGATGTATATCTTTAAGGTTCTAAATACCTTGATAGTTTTATCATCTGCTGCACTCACCAACCTCCAACTGTCTGCTTGTAGACATCTAAATCAGATAAAACATTGTCACATCTGTACAGTGCTTAGTGATTGCTAGTAAACATTTTAATCAAAGATAATTCAACATCTATAAACTTAATAAGTATCTTCCTGTAGAGCAGGAAAATCTACAAGTTAATCAGTAATTTCACAATTTAATTCACACTTTTTTTAGCATACAATAATGTAGATCCTCTACCCTACTTTACATCTCTTCTTGACAATCCCTCTAAGCCCCTCTCCAGATTCCCTATCCCACCTTTTAACTCTACTGAACAACCTCTGTGTGTCTCTCTCTAAATCCTCTTCCCTGCTTTTAAATCCCTGTGTGTCCCTCTCTAGACCCTCTAACCTGCCTTAGTTTATATTTATTTCCCTACAGGTCCCTCTGTAGATTCCCTACCCTGCTTTAACATTTTTACCTGACAACCCCTGTGTGCCCCTCTCTAGACCCACTAACCTGCCTGTGTGCCCTTGCCTAGATCCCCAGCTCTAAATTTAAACCTCTACCTGACAACCCCAGTGTGCCCCTCTGCATCCTTCCAGTCTATGGTGTTCACACAGGTCCCACTGTGGATATCCCAGAACTTCAGGGTACAATCCAGAGAGCCACTCACAATCCGTGTGGAGTCAAACTGAAGACAGGTGACGGCATCCTGGTGTCCCATCAACGTCCTCAAACACTCACCCTCGTAATTCCAGACCTGTCCAACAGAATCAAGGAAAAATTTTTCTAAAAAACTGGTTTTTGGTTAAGCAAAGCTAAACCAAATATAGGGCCTTTTAAACAGGTAGTTCCTCCTTTTTTTTGAATTACATTTTAAACAGTTAACTATTATACTAACGATGAAAATATTAACATGATTAAGAGCATCTCTGACCAATATACATGACTTATCCTCTACCTCAACCCCAATTGTAATTTATTGGACCTTTTCTTGAGAATTTAAAAAAAAAGATCCTAAGTAGTTACTTCTTCAAAGCATACACCCCCCCCCAAAAAAAAAAAAGACTTAAAATTTAACAGCAACTAAATTATAAGTGAATTCATGCCTTTTAGTAAAGAAACAGTTATATACAAAGGCTGTTTGGAAAGTTTGTGGATTTCTGTCACAACTTTTTTACTTAATGTCATACATGTATTATATTCAAATTTGGTAGACATGTTTTAATTAACAATAAATTTAAATTGTTTGAATATAAAATTTCAAATATATCATAATAAACTTCAAACTTTTTCAAAATTTAAAAATGCAAAAAATGGGTTCAGGAAGCAGGTCAAAATTTAATAATTTACAATTATTAATCTGTGAGGAAACAGACGATCAATCAAAATCGGATCAAAAGTTTTTGAACAACCCTTGTAAAAATAGAAGTACATTTACCTTGATGGTCTTGTCACAGGATCCAGAAACTAATTTGGTGTCATTGAAATGAACACACAATACTGCTGCCTGATGGCCCCTAAAATCACAAATATACATACATAATCACCATACTCATCTGGTGTCATTGAAGTGAACACACAATACTGCTGCCTGGTGACCCCTAAAATCACAAATACACATACATACATGCATATGCATTTATGCATAAAATTATCACGCAAGCCAATCGAATGATCATCGTCATGAAACCAAAAAATTAGAAAGTTATTCCTTATATTTACATGCTCTTGATTCTGCAAATTCACGTGCTACAAGCCCCACATCTGTCTCTATTTGTCCCGCCCCACACGTGATTTTTTTCACCACGCCTATCGATGAGCCAGTAGATTTATGCAGAAATAAAGTATTTTTACTATTTGAAATTTTATCTCGGACAAAGACATTGGAAATGTAAATATTGAGGAATATATTACATGTAGCTATAGCAACAAAAGTACCTGTAAAATAATACAGAAATATGATTGACTCAGAGATATGTTCTAAAATGGAAATTATGTATTATTGGTACATGTAGTGTACATGAAATATCTAAATAATTCAACGGGGATTGTTTTTTTTTAAGACTCACTCTGAGTTCATACAATCAAACAAACTGAATTAGAAATTCAAGGAAATTGCTCCATAGCATGGTCTCAAATGCATTATTAACATCATTAAATGGGAGTTGTAGAATTTCTACAATCTGTCACCAACATCCCTAATTAAAAGGACTTTTAAAGAGAAGAATGGAGGAAATGGTATGAAACACATCAAATAGACAAAATGTGTCAAAACTTAAAAGAAATTCTCAACCTTACTGTTATTATGAAATCCTTGAAGAAAAAAAAATCAATATCTGAAATCCATATTTTTAAACAAAAATTTATATACCTCTCTCTTCCATTCCATAGTGTTTTACTCCCAATATATGAACATTTCATAAAGTTCTATTAAATAAATTGAAATTTAGAGGAGTACTTCAGTCTATTATAATGACAATAACTATTAGGGTTTCTGAAGTATTTTTCAATGTTGTGTATAGTTTATACACAACTTAAACTTACAATTCTTTGTAATATTTGAATTTTATCACTGTTTATGCAATTCTTGTCTTTCATTTGATGAGATAAACTGTAATTTATTAACCTGATTAATACGACCAAATGTACAACAATGCTCTTCTATGAATGAATTCAGGGGAAAAGAGTTATTATCAAACACTGAATACACAATCTTCTAATGTGCTTTTCATACATGGTGCAACAGTTAAACCCCAGACTCTCCTGTATTAAACCCCTAATGCAGTCAATTGATTATTAGACCCCAACCCCCCACCCCCAAGAAAAACTTTCAGCTCACCTGGGAGCTTCTTTGTAACTCATCTGAGCATAAGTCCCCCGCCTAACTTTCAGGTTACCTGTGAGCTATCTTGTAACTCACCTGAGTATAATACCCTCTCCCAAACTGTCTGCTTACCTGTGAACTACTTGTAACTCACCTGAGTGTAATACCTCCTCCCAAACTGTCTGCTTACCTGTGAACTACTTGTAACTCACCTGAGTGTAATACCCCCTCCCAAACTGTCTGCTTACCTGTGAACTACTTGTAACTCACCTGAGCGTAATACCCCCTCCTAAACTGTCTGCTTACCTGTGAACTACTTGTAACTCACCTGAGAGTATTACCTCCCCCAACCCCTCCCCTCCCACTGTTCGCTTACTTATAAGCTACCTTGTAACTCACCTGAGAGTAATCCTGCAGTCTCCACTTCTGATATCCCAGACTTTGAGTGTTTTGTCATATGATCCACTGACCACTTTATCATCGTCCACCTGTCAACAGAAAATGCTACTTCTGTCAGATCAATAAAGCTATGTCTCTCAAATATGAAATAATTATCTTGCCAGGTAATGTTTTGGGGATTGTACATTATCCTGTTGAAAAGTCTTGTCAACTTAACAAATCACTTTTGCCTGATCCCTCTTTAGTCAAAATGAACCTCTTTCCCTGCATGGTATTCTAAATTTGCTTAAATTTCATTTTATCTCCAAATTCTGTGAGAAAATTGTCAAAACTGCCATGTTAGTAAGTATTGGGCTATTTTCTCTAAATCTGAAAACTACATGATACATGTATTAAGGACATATGCAATGTAGTTTGAACTTTATTGTCTTTTTCCCTGGAGTTGAAGAGTTCCAATACTCAAAGGAACTGTGTGCTGCATTTTAAGGTTTATATATGCTGTTGTACACTTCTTCTAAAACAAGTTTGGATGAACAAAACATCTAGAATATATGTTTAGTAATTTTTGTATATTTTTCTTTGAATTATACAAGATTTTTCATCAATTGATAACTTTTCAAAACCCCTGGTAATGCATGCTGATTTTTTGTCTACAAACATCTGATGGCACTATAATCTTAAATTAAGAATATCTTGAAAAATTATCAGTAGGTAAGGTACGTTGCGTATGTCCTTAAAAGGAAGTTCTCATTACAACGATAATCGTGTTTAAGATGCATATGCAATCACTCACTTTTAAGTATACTAATTCTAAATTTGCATTAGAAAGTCAGAAATAGAAACAAAAACTCCCTGAATACTGTGATTTCATTAATATCTGTGGGGATTTCGGGCAAAAAATACTATTTTGTTGACATCTAAATTTGTGAACAGCTACATCGTCCTGCAGGGCATAATCTAAGCATAGAAGAAGATAAAGACTAATTTAAAAATAGCCTTGGGACGTACAGTAGCCAGAAGGTAAACGAGCAAGAGGAAGACCAGAGACCACCTGGAGGAGAACAATAAAAAAAGGAATACAGATGGCTGGCCAAGCAGGAATTCCACCACTACATGTAAATAGAAAATGGAAGAAAGAGTTATGGCTTTATGTGCCTTCTGGCATGGGGAGAGTTAACATAGGGTACATCATCCTATTCTATCATACGCAAAATTTTTACTTTGTTCACCACCTAATTTGGTGGTTTGACTCAACCATGAAAACAATTAAAGAATTTTTGTTAAGTAAAAATGATGAAATCTTGGTAGTTTACAGAGACAATTTGAGGTACAGTGAGCACTGTGCTCACAAAATGATACCCCACTCCCATATGAGCATATAGGAAAAGTCCATTTTTTGCTGTGGGAAAACTCAAATATCTATCCAATTGAAATGTAAAATAGGAGGTCACAATGACACTTTTTTTTCCTTTAAAGATTCTGTGAAAGTCTCATTAAATTTATCTAGTGGTATAGGAGGAGTTCTGGGAAAGAGATGGGTACCCTGAATTTTATAGAAAGAATGGCAGTGTCCTGGTTTTGCTATCATGGGAAACTCCAAATTTGTCTGATTAAAATGAAAAATAGGAGATGCACAATGGCACTATAAAAAATAAAGATTTTGTGAAAGTCTCATCAAATTCTATTCAGTGGTATAAGAGAAGTTGTGGAAAAGAGATGGGTACCCCCAATTTTATAGAAGGAATGGCAGTATTCATGTTTTGCAGTGAGAAACCCCAAATACCTGTTCAATTGAAATGTAAAATAGGAGCTCACAAAAGCTCTATGTAATAAAGATTCTGTGAAAGTCTCATTCATTGGTATAGGAGGAGTTGGGGATAAGAGATGGGTACCTCCAAGTGTTACGGACATAGACACCCTCATCACTATATGCCCAACTTTTCAAGTTGGGGGTATAAATATAACAGACTGTTAGACTTACCTGTAGACACCTGACAGTCTCTAAGTGCTTAATCAACTGTACAGTAAAACACACTTATAACGAAGTGCAGGGCCGGACAATTTTGCTTCCTTATAAACATAATTTGTTATATCCATGATGTTTTAAAGCCACAGGGAATGAAAACCACTTCGATGTAAGCATCAATTCATATAAGCGTGTGTTGTACTGTTCTTACCTGTAGACACCTGACGGTCTCTGTGTGCCCAATCATGGTCACCTTACAGGCTATACTGGACCAGCTCTCCTGAGTGGACAAGTCCCAGACCTACAGAGGACAAAAAAAAGAAACATTGTGACTAGTGGTGACAACCCAATAACTGAACAAATCCCAGATCTGAAGCAGACAAAAAATGACTAGTAGCAACAATCTAAGAAATGAACAAATCCCAGCATTTAGAAGACAAATTCACAGTGACTAGTGGTGACTATCCAATAGCTGAATAAATCCTAGACCTACAGAAAACAATGACTAGGTGTGACAATCTAATAACTTCATAATGTGCACTAATCCCTGCATCTTTTAACATGCTGCACACATATGCAATGTAGTGCAAAAAAAAAAAACCCTAAACAAAACACTTTGATCAACAGAGATCAATAAATGAGTAGACAACTTGTTCACCAACCACTGTATCTAACAACTGGACACAAATCCAAACTGTACAAAAACAAAACACAAAGCTCATAGTAATCAAAAAGAACTTCACAATGCTCACTTCAACAAACTGGAAACATATCAAAAATGTACTAAAAACACACACAAAAAACTCAACAGTGACCAAGAAATGACTTGACACAATGTCCACCAATATTTTCATCTGTAACAGACACAAATTCAAAACTGATCTAAATTACACAGTACTTAATAGTATAAGCTTTCAATATTGTTTGCCTAAGCGCATGGCAATTTAGTTGACATTGAACTTTGTTGACTAGAATAGGTGAATAATCAGTTTCTTTGTATGTACTCAGGGACCAATAAATTTTGTTTGCCTAGATTAAGTCACCAATGAACTACAAATGTATGTTTGTCTTGACCCAGTCATAAATGATATTTTCTTTGCCTAAATTCAGTGATCAATGAACTATGTTAGTCTAGACTCAGCCATCAATGAGCTATGTTTGTCTACACTCAGTGATCAACGAGCTATGTTTGTCTAGACTTGGTGATCAACGAACTTTGTTTGTCTAGACTCAGTGATCAATGAACTTTGTTTGTCTAGACTCAGTAACCAGAAAACTTTTATTTGGTTTGTCTAGACTCAGTCTCTTATGAAGTTTTTTGTCTTGAATAAATGACAAAGAACTTTGTCTAGTCTCTGTCACTAATGATTTTTTTTGGTTCTCTTAGTCTAGACTCAGCCATAAATGAATTTGTTTGTCAAGTCTCGTTCACGAAATGAATGTTTTGTCTAGACTTGTCAACAAATAAAATCTTTTCTTATGTTTGTCTAGATGATCGAGTTTGTTTCAAGCAACACCAAACTTGTGTATGTTATGAAATGATTTTCATAAATCATTAGAATGTACTTTATATTTCTTAATGGAAAACTACCATCAGATATCTTGTTTACTCAAAAATTTTAATCCTGTTATGAACAAATGTCATACTTATGAAATCAAAATCATGTCGATCTATAATTAGCACATGTTCAGCACATGTTTTGTTTTTAATAGTCTTGTTTTCTATCCTCCATGTACTAAAATTACATCTTTCCATGGGGTCAGATTTTTGTGTTTTGAGGACAACATGTTCATTGTGGGGATTTGATTTCATAATTGAAGAAATGTCAAGTTCTTAATATGCATTTGAAATTTTTCATTCTGTGGAGGACATGAATTCATTGGTCTCTTCATATCATGAAAACAACAAAAATGTAAACCACATGAAAATTAGTGATTTCATGGTATTAAACTTTTTAGCTTACTGCTATCATCTTTGAAATTTAGGGGTCAAAATCTATGCTAATTAATACCCCTTCTTTCCACTTTAAAGTTTGTTGAAGTATCAATTCCTTTGTATAAAAAATTCATTAAAACATAAGGGCATCACAGATATAAGCCCATGTTTATCCTTCTAAAGGATTCACAAACTGTGAATTTTCAACACACAACCATTTTCATAACTGTATCAATAAACTTAGGAACTTTATTACTTAATGGTAATTTTACTTGGGAAAGATTTAATTAAGATTAAACAAGTCTAGAGATGTTTGTGAAACATTAATGCCCCCCACCCCCAAAATAATTGAAAATTTTCCAAGTCCAAGGGGCATAACTCTGTCAAAAATTGCTCGATCCTACCCAGAACAAAACTTGACCTAGATATTTTTATGATAAATCTGTATACCAAATTTCATTTCACTATGTGCAACCTCTGCAAAGAACATGAACCGAAACTTGGGGGACCGACAGACAGACAGACAGACAGACAGACTGACGAACAGACCCACAGACCGATTGACCAACAGACAGCAGCAAAGCAATATGCCCTCCCTTCATAAAAACACCTAAATCTGGATTTTAAGAGCTACATGTATTTGACTGGCTGAAAAAAATTATATAGCATTGTATACCCTTTGTTGCTATGTCACAATATGACTTGCATCAATGAAAATGCATCAATCCGCCTTAACATTTTATTCAATTTTATATATATATATATATATATATATATATATATATATATATATATATATATATTGTAATGCCATTCTTGAGTACAAATCATCTTATTTTCTTCACTTATTAGCAGAAAATTAAATCTTAAGAAATGAATTTAAAAATCACCCAAGTTATTAGAGTATACAGTAATCTGGGTTACACTTATCTATAAACCATTTTTGTAGATTATAAAGCGTATAATGCCCTAATCTTGGTTAAACTAACATATCCTCAGTGACTTTATTTAAAATTCGTTCCTTAATTAGAAGAGATGGATCTCTAAGATTCTTTTACAAATACTGTAAAATGAGAAAATTTGGTGCATTACTCATTTTAGTGCAAATGCAAGTGGGAATGCATTGGCGCAAATAAATTTTAGCGCATTATGCTTGTCATTAGAATATATAAATGTGATATTTTTTCCTTTCATCCACACTATATTTGATTTTGTGGTCACTCAATCACGCAAGCACAATAGCATTGATTTCTAACTCACATACACAGGTAAACATTCATTTACTTTTCTGTGGTGTTGCAAGCACATGGAACTGGCACATTGTCAATTTTGAAAATTTTTAATAAAAGAAAACGTGATTAGTTTCATATTAAAACCACGCATGCATCGAAGGAAAGTTAATTTGTAATCAGGTATTGTCTGCAAGGTTGATCGCCATGCTTGATCTCATTGTTCGCCTAGAGGCGATTAGATGGTTGAAAAGACAAGAAGTCCAACTTTGAAGGTGCTAATGATAAGTACCGGGTAACAACAAATTATATTTTAATTAATTAAGGATTTGGCAGAATTTTTTCGACTGACGCTACAGTTTGCCATTGTGAATGTGTATGCAAAAATACAGTGACCCTACAACATTACGTAATCACATGTTCCAGTTTACATTGTACTAAAGTTCATAACTGTACTAAAAAATTAATATTCAGAAATCTGTTTGCACTCAATCAATTTTAGCATTCAGGGGTGCTTGCGCTAAAGGTGCTAAAATTAGTAGTGCGCCAAATTTTCTTGTTTTTCAGTAAGCGGTTTTTCGCACCTTGATGGATTTGTCTGTTGAGCCACTGACTAATCGTTTTCCTTCCAGGTGAAGACAGCGCACTGTTCCACTGTGTCCAACCAATGTTTGGACTGACCACTGGGCATTAGTTCGGATGTTCCACACCTAAAACAGAGAAAAGTAAAATTGTTGGACTGCTGACCAATCATTTTCCTACAGGTGAAGTCATACAATTTCTAACTGTCTGAATTACCTTAAAGTAAAAATTATATTTAATATGCAAATCATGATAGGATTGTTCCCAATGGCATTGATATTTAATTATGAAAAACAATCAGCCCATTTAAAATTCAACTCATATTTTTTTCAATTATCAATTACAAATTAATATGTTTGTAAAACACAATTCCCTAGGGATGACAACTATATCTATCTAATTGCCTGATTGTGTACTGAACCATGCTGTCAACATTCATGACAGAAATATAAAGTTTCAATTCATTAATATCAAATTTCAGCTAAAGATCTGAGCAGGTGCATGAAAATTAATATACTGAGACACCCATTCTTTAATCATTGGGTATCAAATTTCCCCTAATTTTCCAAAACTCGATCTTTGGAAAATTTTCATTGGACTGACCTTAATGGTTTTATCTGAAGACCCACTGACAATTCTGGTGTCATCAAATTGTACGCAGGAAATACCTACAAAAAAAGCAGAACTGTACACAGGAAATACCTATAAAAAAAACAGAACTCTTCACAGGAAATACCAATTAAAAAACAGAACTGTATAAATGTATAAAGGAAATACCAAAAAAAAAAGAACTGTACACAGAAAATACCAATAAAAGCAACAATATGTACCGGTACATAGGAAATACCTAAAACAACAAACTGTACATAGGTAATACCTCAATCAACAAACTGTACATAGGAAATACCTCAATCAACAAGCTGTACCTAGGAAATACCTCAATCAACAAACTGTACATAGGAAATACCTCAAACAACAAACTGTACATAGGAAATACCTCAAACAACAAACTGTACAGTAACTAAGGAAATACCTCAAACAACAATTTGTACATAAGAAATACCTAAAACAACAAACTGTACTTAGGTAATACCTAAAATAACAAACTGTACTTAGGTAATACCTAAAATAACAAACTGTACTTAGGTAATACCTCAAACAACAAACTGCACTTAGGTAATACCTCAATCAACAAACTGTACTTAGGTAATACCTAAAATAACAAACTGTACTTAGGTAATACCTCAAACAACAAACTGTACATAGGTAATACCTAAAATAACAAACTGTACTCAGGTAATACCTAAAATAGCAAACTGTACTTAGGTAATACCTCAAACAACAAACTATACATAGGTAATACCTCAAACAACAAACTGTACATAGGTAATACCTAAAATAACAAACTGTACTTAGGTAATACCTCAAACAACAAATTGTACATAGGAAATACCTCAAACAACAAACTGTACATAGGAAATACCTCAATCAACAAACTGTACATAGGAAATACCTCAAACAACAAACTGTACAAAGGAAATACCTCAATCAACAAACTGTACATAGGAAATACCTCAAACAACAAACTGTACATAGGAAATACCTCAAACAACAAACTGTACAGTAACTAAGGAAATACCTCAAACAACAAACTGTACAGTGACTAAGGAAATACCTAAAACAACAATTTGTACATAGGAAATACCTAAAACAACAAACTGTACTTAGGTAATACCTAAAATAACAAACTGTACTTAGGTAATACCTAAAATAACAAACTGTACTTAGGTAATACCCCAAACAACAAACTGTACTTAGGTAATACCTCAAACATCAAACTGTACTTAGGTAATACCTAAAATAACAAACTGTACTTAGGTAATACCTCAAACAACAAACTGTACATAGGTAATACCTAAAATAACAAACTGTACTCAGGTAATACCTCAAACAACAAACTGTACATAGGTAATACCTAAAATAACAAACTGTACTTAGATAATACCTAAAATAACAAACTGTATATAGGAAATACCTCAATCAACAAACTGTACATAGGAAATACCTCAATCAACAAACTGTACATAGGAAATATCTCAATCAACAAACTGTACATAGGAAATACCTCAAACAACAAACTGTACAGTAACTAAGGAAATACCTCAAACAACAAACTGTACAGTGACTAAGGAAATACTTAAAACAACAATTTGTACATAGGAAATACCTAAAACAACAAACTGTACATAGGTAATACCTAAAATAACAAACTGTACTTAGGTAATACCTAAAATAACAAACTGTACTTAGGTAATACCTCAAACAACAAACTGTACTTAGGTAATACCTCAAACAACAAACTGTACTTAGGTAATACCTAAAATAACAAACTGTACTTAGGTAATACCTCAAACAACAAACTGTACATAGGTAATACCTAAAATAACAAACTGTACTCAGGTAATACCTAAAATAACAAACTGTACTTAGGTAATACCTCAAACAACAAACTATACATAGGTAATACCTCAAACAACAAACTGTACATAGGTAATACCTAAAATAACAAACTGTACTTAGGTAATACCTCAAACAACAAATTGTACATAGAAAATACCTCAATCAACAAACTGTACATAGGAAATACCTCAATCAACAAACTGTACATAGGAAATACCTCAAACAACAAACTGTACATAGGAAATACCTCAATCAACAAACTGTACATAGGAAATACCTCAAACAACAAACTGTACAGTAACTAAGGAAATACCTAAAACAACAAACTGTACAGTGACTGAGGAAATGCCTAAAACAACAAACTGTACATAGGAAATACCTAAAACAACAAACTGTACTTAGGTAATACCTAAAATAACAAACTGTACTTAGGTAATACCTCAAACAACAAACTGTACTTAGGTAATACCTAAAATAGCAAACTGTACTTAGGTAATACCTAAAATAGCAAACTGTACTTAGGTAATACCTAAAATAACAAACTGTACTTAGGTAATACCTCAATCAACAAACTGTACATAGAAAATACCTCAATCAACAAACTGTACAAAGGAAATACCTCAAACAACAAATTGTACATAGGAAATACCTAAAACAACAAACTGTATATAGGAAATACCTCAATCAACAAACTGTACATAGGAAATACCTCAGTCAACAAATTGTACATAGGAAATACCTCAAACAACAAACTGTACAAAGGTAATACCTCAAACAACAAACTGTACATAGGAAATACTTAAAACAACAACCTGTACAAAGGAAATACCTAAAACAACAAACTGTACATAGGTAATACCTCAAACAACAAACTGTACTTAGGAAATACCTCAAACAATAAACACAGGAAGAACCTAATAATTATTATCATAATGTTTAAAATAATCTATATTATTATATAAGATCCTTATAAGACTTTAATTCACCAAATTCTTCACAGCTTCTGTCAAATTTTAAGAAACATCATTCTTATTTAGATGTAATTTCTGTGGATTTTGATCAAAAATAAGAAGGTTGTTATCAACAGATGATATTACATCATCACTTTTTAAAATTTAAATATCTTCAAACTAAATATGCAGCATAAGAAATTCAAGGCATGTAACTACACAATATGTTGTCTTATTTCATCAAATGTCAGAATTGGAGATATATCAGATAGTTCGGATGTGTGAAATACAAGCTGGAAATCACCTGCACCTATGTAATAGGAATCTCTCCATCTCAAGAGAGCAGTTTAATTTACTTGTGTAATTCAGGTACATATAGTTCATCAACCAGAAAGGTTTCAGTATTACAAATTTTAATTTAAAGGTTATTTTCCGTACATTTGATAGCCAGCAAGTACCTGGCAACCAAGAACACCGAGTTACTGAGTATGAACCTGTACAAGATGCATGTAACAAAAATTAACTTTACCAGACAGCTTGTCAATTGGGGGGGAAAAAGGAACTCAATATTCTTGTCTTTGCATTGTACACCATTCTAGACTCCTAGTCTACATAATGCTAACTTCAAAGAAAACCATCAAAAATCCCCCCAGGCTAGAGGTGTCAACAAAATTAAAAAATCAATATACAGCATGGAGGGAACCTCTCTCCATATTACAATATCTGACCTGTCAGCTTGATTTCAAAGTCCTTGCAACTTCCATGATAATTGATTTTCACAAATGCTAATTGTCATAAAATATCAAATATCTGCTGGAAAAGTGAGGCCATTAATGTTCTTCTGGAGGAAATGAGACAAAGATATTAATATTTGCTCTGTGTTTGGCAATTTCATATGGGTTAAGATTTTTACGAGAGTGTAATCATGTGTATATTCATAGTAGCCTGTCTCTGCATTTTCCCCCAGCAGTAATAATTTTTCTCAAAAGATGGAGGTGTCTTTGACCCTGTGCATTGCAAAATTTGTTATTCCTTTCTCCATTTTCTCCACTGAACAAATTTTTTGCCCACTTTTTTAACTGATCAGAACAATGCCGAACAAGGATAACTTGGTTTTTATGTACTTCCCCACTACCAATTATGCCTATTATCTATCTTTCGTAACAGTAAATCATTTATTTAATATTTGTCTCCAAGCATTGTTAAGAATTAACAATCATGTTAAGAATTATTATTAAATAATTCAAAGCTCATGATTGCTTCAAAGCAAGAGAAAATGTCATATGATGAATTTATTGGCATCAATTTAAATTATTTACATGTTCAGAGAAACAATAACATCAAAATACTTCAGCTCCAGCTGTTGTGAACCATGCCATACATTCTATAATTTATATCAATTATTACAAATGAACAAAAAAACTATCTGTAACCTTAAACCAATACATGTATAATGCAGACAATCTATTTTTACCTTGTGAATGACCTTCAAATGTCCTGACAGTACAACGCCCACTCAGCCAGTTGTTTCGGAGTCTGAATCGCTCAGCAAAAACCTTCTTCCACTGTAAAGATATGCAAAGACAATCGTGTCCTTAAACTCTCTGATGAAGAAAATTAAGTGTCAGATCATTTAATTATCAACTACTGTACAAGGTATTTTATGGTAAATAAATTCTATTTCTATTTGGTGGAGGTAAAAAGTATGAAGGCTACTGGGGAAATGTGTGAAGGCTATATGTTTCATGTACAGGTTTCAAGGCATTCCTTAACACACAGTATTGCTCAGTCTAAAATCTTTTCATAGAAGACTTTTACATTGTAAATTGTAAATTGAAACTGAAAGTACAAATTTAAAGTGCTTTGTTTTAGTTTAATGACCTTGACCTTGTATGTCATTAGTGTTGCCTTTTCATGTAATAGTGTCAGTATTATAAATATGGAGGTGTGATGAAGAACTATTTGGCCATTTGTACAAGAGTGTTACTTCAGTCATACAACAGACCAACATACAAATTGGGCAAATACTGGACAAAATACTGTAGATGTAGATGTTTGAGATTAATTTACACCATGCACTCAGAAATTTTCATAGAAATTTGTCACAGAATACTTCAAGTGCTTTTAAGACAAACTAAGGCAATCCCACAAATCCCCCCAATGTTCTACCTGGTCCCATGGATTGAACAAAAATTATGATTATGTGGTATTATGACCAATAATTTAAAGTTTCTTTTTTTCTGTTATTTATATGTATTCAAATGAACACTGACTAAGTTAATCTATCTGATACATGGAAATTCTAACAGTCAATCAGTGAGGATTTAATAAAATGTACAACAAAGTACCATTCTGAATCTAAAAATCCGATCACTCTATAATATCCTGTTGACATGGTGATAAACCAGTGATTAACTATTAATTACAGACATCAATTAGCCATTGAAGAAGTATAAAAACATAAAATAGTTTTTTTTCAAAGGTAAATAACATCAGAGCCCCAAACAAACATCAAAGGAATGTTTTATTTGAAGCATTGAATCTGTTATAATGTTCAAACATCTGACAAACCATGATGCTGCCTCCGGTCATGTGACTGATGACTTGTTTGTGTTCTGCTGCTTTAGAAAGCCTCCATGTCTGTTGACAACAGAATTTTCTCCACAGAGAAGGATCCTCAGTAATGTATCGCCACACCCGACAAACCTGGGCCGCACGACACAAACTAACTGTAACCAAAGTAAAGCTTCATTTTGATGTATTAATAAAAATACAGTGTAGGAAAATTTAATTGCAAATTTTTAAAACACTTAATTTTTATCTTTGTAATGTTCAAGTTGTTTTATAGAATTTTCTTTTAGATCCTAATACGTATGTCAAATTTTGTTTATCTTACTAAGTACAATGTATTATATTCCTAACACTCATAAATATAATACTATGGAATCATCATTGTTCGTGGGGAACCAATGTTCGTGGATTTTGTGGGTTACCCTTACCCACGAATTTTCATTCCCACGAACGTTTATTTTGTACACATATTGATTAAATGAATCTACCGTATAAACGAGTAACCCACGAAATTACGTCCCCTCGAACAAGTAAAATTTTGCTTGTCCACGAACATTGACCCCCATGAATAAAAATGATTCCACAGTATGTGAACATGTACCATGTCGCACTGGCTTTTTCCTTTTATGTTAAATGAAAGGAATGAAATGTTTAAATCAGAACTCAGAATGTACTCCTAATAGTTGAACTTTTAAAACATATAAAGAAAAAAAATCTATTAAATATCACAGTATTTTTTAAACAAAAATAACACAGTTAACTAAAGGTGTAACGATACAGCAATACATCGATCATATTGATCGCAAGGGCTCACGATATCATATCGCCATGTGTGTATCGTGATACAGTACAAGATAATTTTCATTGTTTTATTTGAAACTTTTACATACAACCTAACAAATTTTTATGTTTTAAAATGGCTGAAAAAAGGTAGCAAAGAAAAAATACAATGTCAAGACTATAAATCCACCTTTTATTAACTCTGGTCAGAGATATCAAGATTTTCTATAACTGTGGAGGTTAGCAAAGAATAATATGTTAAGATAACAGTTAATTCCATTTTTGACAGTTGTATCATGATACATGTTGTATCGCATGACTGCATTGTGATATGTATCGTATTGTTAGGTAGCTTGCGATACTCAGGCCTACAGTTAACATTACTACATCCTGTAATGCATTTAAAAAATACAGGGTTTTTTTTAGGTCTTAAAATCAAGGGCCTGGGTCTTTCCATTTGGGAAAAATAGCGACTTTTGGTTGAAATTGGGAAGAATATCATATTTAATATTTTTGTAAATAAATTCAAATAAGAGGGTTTTTTTCATTTGCAAGGTATTTATTGACTTATTTTACATTCAGTCAATCAGTTTTTGGAGCATGCCTTTTAGTTTTTTTTTTTTGAACACCATTCCTGATAAACGTTAACCATATTTGTTTGTTTTGATTCTCTTTTGGGAATTTTCTTTTATGAAATTGGGAAAAACACCTACTTTTTACCATTGGGAATAGGGCCTATTACAGGCCCCCTACGACCCCTAAAAAAAACCCTGAAATACTACATGAATACTTTTAATATTCATGCATCACATGTACATGTAATTACCAGTACTTCATAAAATGTGTATATAATAATATAAAGATGGCAGGCATGTGATATCTATTATCCAGAGAGAGAGAGTGTGTCATTCTAGTCTGAGGCAAAACAAATACTGTATACAGGGTTATTTTCGCTCCGTGTTATTTTCACCCTTTCAAACTTGCAAACAATTTTGCCCTTTTTTAAATTTGCCCAGTCACAATTCTGTTTAAGAAATTAAACTGTGTTGTTTGAATTTGCCCCGTTTTAAATTCACCTGCCTGTGAGTAGGGCGGAAGGGGTGAAAATAAAATGGGGGCAAAAATTTCCCTGCATACAGTATATGCATATTTTGGGGGTCACATTGAATGTGTATTCTGGAGACAAGCTGCAATCAGTTCCCAGACGTAAATCAGCAATGAACCGGTCCATCCAGTGCCAAACGTGCAGTTTACGGTCAAAATAACGATCACAGTCTTCAGAAGAATCATTTATGAATTTCACATGAAAGCTAAAGAAACCTTTAACTTAGAATAAATACACACGGATTAATCCTATTTTAACCTATTTTCTACAGAATATTGAAAGAAAATGAAAGATGATAATTATGGTGTTCAATTTCGTCAGTGAACATGATTGTCTTGGTCTATACTCTATAATGTAAGAGTAAATTGGCTCTTACAGAAGTGGAGCTATATAACCTATATATAAATCACTTGCCTAGTTATTAATTTTGTACCACGATGGCCGGCCTAAGGAGACTGAACATAAGTTCAACTCCAAGAAATTCATTTAAGCAATTACAGCTGTATTACAAATTGTATATTAACATTTTTCTTACTTTTTCCTAGATTTAGGTGACCAAAAATACACTGAATTGAGATTTTTACTGGTGCTTTGATGTCTTTGAACTTTTTTCCTGAGGGTAAAAGGCTTAGGTACTATGTGTTGAAAATGAAATATACACAGTCAATATTTAAAGTCAGTCACCTTTTTACAATATAATTTTCTCTATGTCCAAAAACAAGGAAAAACATTTTCATTAGTGTTCGGAGGGTCCTTATAATTATATTAAAATGTATGAAAAAAATACTAACAACACAAACAGTAAGTATCAATTTTCATAATAATTTTTTCACCGATGAGTGACAATATCTGCCTACTACTTGACAGCTGTATCATATAGCGAATATACAGCAGGCAAGAGGAGTCGATTTACAGTGAATGGTGACAATTCAACTCAGCACTACCAGTATCAGCCGACCAACGTTCGTGACCTCAAGGTCGATAAATGACTCAAAATACAGTGGTATTAAAACAGCTCTGATGTGTATATCTGTAAAAATATCCCCAACATCTGCTTAGAGGAGGAAAATACTCTCTTAAGTATTGCAATATTTGTTACCATGGTTACTAACCAGGGTCCAGGTAAGACATGATTTTGGTTGCTATGGTAGCTGGTAGCCAGGTGATGATGTCCTGACAGTTTGGGGGGCAGCCTTTGTGTAGCTGTGAGGACACCCTGACGGACAGAAGGTGGTTCTGGGGTAAATCACAGTCCTTCTGTAAACATAAAGATAAAAATTTACTAAATAAATTAAATTCCTTCTGTAAATGTAAAGATTTACTATAAAAATAATAAAATTCCTTCTGTAAACATAAAGATAAAAATTTACTGTATAATAAAATTTCTTCTGAAACGTTAAGATTTACTATAAAAATAATAAAATTCCTTCTGTTAACATAAAGATAAAAATTTACTAAATATATAAAATTCCTTCTGTAAACGTAAAATTAAAATTTTACTCAATAAAAAGATTTCCCTCTGTAAACGTAAAGATTAAAATTACTCAATGAATTCGGAATACAACACAACTAAAGCAATATCCACACCCTTAACACTACTCACCAGGAGCCGACTGATCAGTGTGTTTTTCTGGATATCATTAAATTCATTAAACCAGCGAAGAATTGTCTGCAAAGAAATGTACAGTTTTTTTTCATCAATATCTCACAAAACAGACTAACAAAATATCCACATAATGAGTAAACTTACATTCACTCTTGCACACACTCTACTTGCATTCAACATGTTCATTTCATTACATTGTTGCAATATTAAAGTAACCTTTTTTCTGTGCACAATTAGTTGATCAGGCATGGCCAGTAGAACTTCTGATTGATAAGTAATGAATTAAATTTTAGGGAAAGCAAGGTAGCTGTAAGTGTGAAATAAAGGCTCTATTTCTTTACGAGACCAAAAATAAAATAAGCTTTGTTTGGCTTTGTCGGCCATCTTATATAAAATGGAGAAGTCTGGAGAAATTTTTCCAACCAGTTTTTTTTCTTACTTTTTTCATCAATTAATATGCTTAAGTTTGATACGAAATAGAAAATGTACAGTCCCTGAAGCATTCTACTTTTTCACTTTTTATTCGCTGTGAGTTCAGTATGGATTCAGTGAGTATGGTGAGCACTCATAATTCTAAGTTTGTGCTCACTGTTCACAGAGCATTTAATTTTAGTATTCACTAACCATACACCAAGTTGTGTTCAGTGTTCATGCACTGTTCACTCACCATGTCAAGCCCTAGGTTTGTTCATGTTATTCAGTGTTTGCAAATCATTCATTCATTCTTTACTCACCCTTCATGTGGAAAAGTAGAATATTTCAGAAAAGTCCAATATTTATAATTTTTCACATTCTTACAATTGTATATATAGATAGAAGTAACAGCAACAAATGTCAGATTCTTGTCTGATGTTATCAGCTAATCATATCTGATTAGACAATACAATAAAATTAGAGAGCCTACACTACAGGTCAGCTTAGTACTAACTGAGCAAATTACTTAAAAGATGCAAGACAAAATGAAAAAAATTACTTCAATATACATGATATATTGTTCAGAGGATGTAGGATAAATAACTTGAGGCTCATGGGAGACAATGCTCACCTGAGTCACTAATCACCCTTCTGTTTTTCAGCAGCAGATTTTTTCACCTATCCCAGTACAAAACTTAGATTACATACCGTGGCCATACCCTACCCCCTGGGGTCATGATCTGAACAAATTTGAGACTTCACTACCCGAGGAAGCTTCAATATAAATATGACAGTTCATGGCTTTGCTGTTCATGAGAAGATTTTTGAAGATTTTTCTTAAACATTCCTATGTAAAACTCTGATAGCCCATAGTGACACTGCCCTATTCCCAGAGGTCATGATTTGAACATGAATCTACACTATGTCAAGAAGCTTTTACATGAGTTTAATCTTCTCCGGTGCCTAGTGGTTCTTAAGAAAAAGATTTTTAAATGACCCCATCCATTTTTCAATATTTCTTCATTATCTCCCCTTAAAAGAAGGTGTGGCCTTTCATTTGTACAAACTTGAATCCGCTTTACCCAAGGATATGCTGTGCCAAGTTTGTTTGAAACTAGCCCAGTGGTTCTGGAGAAGATGAAAATGAGAGTAGTTTACACCTTCAGCTCAGGTGAGCTAAAGAATATTACTCAAAAAGACATAAAGATAAATTGAATAAACTTCTTATTTAAATACTTAAAAAGATTAGAGAAATTGTTCAAATATCTTTCAATCAAAGGATATAAGACAACTGAATAAATTACTTCAACTGATCTAAGACAAGTTGAACAAACTACTCAAAAGGACCTGAGGCAAACTGAATATAAATTGCTGAAAAAGAACAGAAAACATCTTTAATAAAGAATAAAAAACAAACACACCAACATGACACCTCTGTTTGTACTTACTGCTAATTTCTCTTTGAATACAGTAGGTTTGATGCCGTCTTTTGTACGCGATGTGATACTTTTAATGACTTCGTTTTTCCCCGCATCCTTTGGTTTTAACACTGGAGTCAGTGTACTAAGATCACACGTTGGGAGGTGACTCTTCTGAGGCTGCATGATCTCCGTTTTGTTTGGCCACTGCGGAACACTTTGTTCTTCCTCACTCTCACTCGAGTAGTCACTTCGCCGATATTTGTACCGATTTTTCACACACTGAGAAAAATGTCCCCAAGAATTCACAACACAGGATGGCTGATAAGGTGTCTCAGTTTCTAAATTTGAGCATTCTGAATTTTTTTTTGAATCTTTACTTCCCTCATCGTCCATTTCCTCTTGTCTGTAGGGAACATCGTTACGGTAACAATCAGCAGACATGAACTCCAGATTCCGAACATCATATCTGGACACAAGTCCTTTAGAGTCCTTCTGACACAAATATTTTTCACCTGGAATTGACGAATTTTGCCGCGTACATGATCTCCTTTTTACTCGATCTGGCGAAGCACCATTCATGCATGTAACCTGTTCTAGGGAACATTCACCATCATCTGGTGGAGAACATGTTCCATTTGTCATTTTGCTAGTTTGACATTCAGAGGTTATTCCGTTACAACTATTCACTCGATTGCAATCATCCCCAGATGTACAACTGAAATATGCATCATCCGATTCTTGTTCTGTTGCATTGTGGATAAAATACCGTCCTCCAAAGGCACCACTAGACATTGGTGACAGATTTCTGATCTTCATACACAACTTTGTAGAAATCTGTAATTGTTGTTAAAGGTATTTTGAAATTAAGGTAGCTTCCTCAATACCTCTTCAGAAATTTCCTTGTTAATAAATAGGATTTGTCAGATATTCTAACATTTATGACTTGACAACAATTCCTTCCTTACAATCTTTTAAGGTACTTTACCTAAGACTCACAGCTACAGTCAGTTTGAGAAAATCAGGAGAGAAATTTCAATTTAACTTTTCCACATCAACTTTCTGCTTTTAATATCTCCCATGGAAAATATATTAACAATTAACTTCAGCTAAATGTAGCATAATATCTTCTAGTTCAGATGTTCTCTAAGAAATGCTAATGCGTTGGTTGGCTAACCTTTGCAATGAAGCAATTGTCAATGAGTTTTGTTTAAGAATTCTTCAATTATCTTAAATGTCAATCTGTGTCATTATCAATGACATGAATAATAATTAATTTTTTTATAATGTCAATATTACCATGATTACCTTAAAGTTTGCTTTATGTCTTACCTTATACCATAATGTACTCCGCAGTCAGAGGTACTCATTCCATTTCATTTTGCAGCCTATGAGCCATCTATAATTTCACTGTTTCTTCCAACTTAATGTAAACATGAAATATGTGTTCATTCAAGCATCCATTTGAAGCTTTTATTGTAAAAAAGTCTCTTTAAAACAAAATCTGTGAAATGACTTCCACCATTTGTACAGAGATCACTCTTTACGTTCCAATGTTGTGAGATTCACTGAGAATTACCAATAGCCAATCTGAAAAAGAAAAAAATAAAATAGCCTGTCTAATATACTGGTACATCAGAAATATTATTGACACTCATATAAATATCACCATGTGATAGGGTTTCCATTCCTCAGCCTTGGCTATCATATTACCCATATAAGCTAGATCACTCACCTTCAAACACTAGATATCTAAGCCGTCATGACTACTAACAAAGGTTCTATCAGTCTATTGATGATTTTTTTTTCATTTTTCATATGACAAAAATGAACCCAATTTTTTTTTTATTTTTGCCTGAAGCATTCTCTTTTTCATCAACAAAGGCAGTGTAACTGTTTTATGAATTTCCCACTTTCATGCTCCGAATGTCAGCATTGAAGAAGGTGACAAATTTGATATGTTCACACAATCTTTGCTTGTTTTAAATGACTTGGAGGAAAAACCAATTAGAAGAAGCCATTTAGTTGTGATCTGAACCTGGAATAGAATTCAGCAAGGACATCACTGCTTGAAGAATTTTTTTTCCCAGGAGAAGTAAAAAGTGAAAAGCTCATTTTGAACATAAAATACAATATTGCCTTAAAAGTGAATACAAAATGAACTTGAAAATCTAAGAGGCAGTACATTAGTCTGATTGATATATAATTAAAAAAAAAGTGTAATGCAAACTCTTCTAATGAGGCTTGAAACCAAGCCAGAATTATGACTTAAACAAATTTAATTTACATTAATTCACACATATATATGTTTTGTTGCTTATATAGTAGTTTTACAACACATTTGGTCTTTTTTGTTACGTTTACAATCATAAGAAAAGGCCAGAACTCTTGTTCTAGCAAGCTTCCTCCTACCATTGTCCTGGGTTTCTATCATATTTTCTGACAAAACTGTGCTTTGATCATGTTGATCAGAACAACAAACAAGTAATTTACCTATAATTTTCTCTATTGCGAGCATAATCTACTCTGAAAAATGCGTAAATTGTAATTGGTATTTAGTACAATCCAAGTGTCTGCAAGTTATAGGAGTAAAAGGAGTAAAAAAGTATAAATATATAGAAATATATATAAATATATATATATATATATATATATATATATATATATATATATATATATATATATATATCTTGCATATGGTTTGCAAAATCATTTTCATCATTCATCTTTTTTTTGGGGGGGGGGGGGGGAGCTTCTGTCAGTGTCTAAGTAAAAAGTAATATATATATATATATATATATATATATATATATATATATATATATATATATATATATATATATATATATATATATATATATATATAAGTCTTGCATATGATTTTCATTTTCATCATTCACCTTTTATTTTTTTTTTGGGGGGGGGGGGGGCTTCTGTCTTACTTGTGTACAAGTTTTAAACTATCATACACAGTGAATCCAGGATTACCCACAATAAACTGAAAATGGCACGTGTCAGAGGGTGTGAAGCTGAATTCTTGATCAAGGTCACCATGAGAAAACAAATTCTAAAAGGTGTGAATACAGCCTCTGAAAGCTGAGTTTTCCAACAGATATTCAATCAAAGGTGTGGAAAAATCAGACAGATCTGGTATAAATTCTTCAATCCAATAAATTCAAATATCCTTTACATACCCAGAATGTGTGCATCATAAAAACACCATATGTTTTGCTTTTTTTTTTTATTATATAAGATGTCAGAAGTACCGTATTTGTTATATGCATAAGATCTTTGATAATATACATGTACATCTACATGTAAACCCCATACACGAACAAATTATTAAATATTCCAGTTTGGAACTTAAGTAATATTTTTTGAGTAAAGGATTACTGATACTTACCTTTAACCTGTGTACAGCCAATTTGTTTGTAAACACAGGTAAGTTACCCAGAATGTAATTAAAATTGGAACAACTCTTGCCTGTGATGAAGAAGTGAAACTGCTTGATGTTATACTTGATTTTAACCTAACTTTTAAGTCTCATATATCAAATTTAATATTTAGAAAGCAGCTCGACAATTAAATGTGTTAATAAAAATGTATTGGTAGACAACTTGGAATTGGAATTCTTGGAATTGTAAAAAAGAAAATAGAAAAAATTCAAGAACAAGCACTAAAGTTTATCTATAATGTCTATAGACTGAAGCAGTTATGACCAACTACTGGAAAAATCAAACCTCCCCTCACTGAAAATCAGGCATATGAGAGACATGGCCCTAGAAGTTTTCAAAATTGTTAATTATTAAGCAGTCTATTATTCCTACAAGATTTAGTTCAACAAAGAAATTAACATACAATTTCAGAAGACTCTGGAACTACCTAGGCAAAGAACTTCTAAGTATGGTAAACAGTCATTCAGCTGTGCGGCTGCTACATTGTGGGACTCCTTATCAAACCATGCTAGGGAACTATCCACCCTCAACCAGTTTAGAACATTTATCGACACATGGAAAGAGGTAAAATGCAAAAATAGTAAATAAATGTAGTTCCTACATAAGCCACAGCATGTGGACTGCATAGCCGATTAGACAATATTTATTTATTATACTATCATAGTTTTATTTTGTAGTATGTTTTATTTATTTTTCAAGCCTTCCATCTCTTTTATTTAGTTATCTACAATCCTTTACCTCTATGCTATATTTTTAACTCTGTTAATTTCTTAAACTTTCCAGTATAGGGACCCTGGGGGCTGAAACTTTGGGAGTAACATCCTATGATGGCAGAAGTGTAAGCTCTCCAGAGTACTTTCCCCCTCATATAATTGTTATGTCATGTACAAAATGCTGATTTTAAATAAAATTTACTTACTTACTATTGCTTCATTTGTAGATGACAGTTTACAGGATGACAGTTTGATTCAGATGTTCAATATTGACAAATATAGATATACAGCTAGACACAGATTGGTGTGAGCCAGTTAAGGGTAAACTGACTAGTAACATCTCCCTGACAGATAGTTAGAATAATCTAACCATGTCTTGGGACAGGCCCTCACCACAGTTAGAATGCCTCCCATATACCTGCAATGTAGCAGAAAATGGCAGAATCGCTCCGAAACGATTTTGAAGAAAATATATGAAGTTGCATTGAAATTACTATCAAATTATTCATGACAAATCTTTCTGAGATTGTGGATACCTTTCACCCAAAAATTTAATACATAAAATGGAAGAATTCAACACTTTTTCTCAAGTTTTTTATTACTCGCTTCAAATTTACAAGCCATATTGACATTCAGAACTCTCTAGACTTTTAATAGCAAATGCACTGAGTTAGACTAAGAATTATCACCTGTGTTTGCTTTGCTACATTGCCAATACACAGAACACATTCTATTGTTAAACCAGATCCATAGAACATTCAGGGTTCTCACTAGGATTTTGCTAACTTGAGTCCCAGGACTCAAAATTTCTGACAAGGTTGCGTCCCAGCTAAATTTGATGCGTCCCAGAAAAATTATGTTGAGTCCCAACTGAATTATTGCAGTATCCTTCCATCCCAGGGACCTATATACTAACAGTTAGTATATAGGTCCCTGTTCCATCCAAACATAAAAAAAAAATCTTTCATTATTTTAACAGTTTGTTTACAAAATATTAACATATTCAAATACGTAAACTGGTGATGCATTCAAGCCATATTCTAAAATACATGCGTAATCAATTGCCATAAAAATAAACTTGGTGTTTATAAAGCAAAAATTAACTGTTGCATAATCAATTAGTACCCCAAAGTTGACTGTATACAATCACAGCTGTCATGTGCAATGAGGCGTAACTAATCCTGTCGGTCGTCTGCACTGGGTGAAATTCACGAGATAATCAAGCCGCATTGTGTATACAAGCAGTAATTATGGTTTCTAGATAAAACTCAAGATTCAAAAGTGTTTTTACAAAAAAAAAAAAAAAAAAAAAAAAAAAAAAAGCTGCTTTGTGTTTAAAGCTATTGGAGTTCGGCATGCGGCACTGGACTAATAAACATGAAATATCTTATAATCAATCCCTGTTTAAAAAAAACATAGAAATAGGTACAAGAAAAGTTGTTTCTAGGATAAACTTTATGATAGTTACAGGAAGGTTTCGATTAAATATTTCTTTGACAAATCCTAACATCTGAAATCTCTGGTTTTCGAAAGCACCCGAATTTTCTCGCTGACGAGGACGCGTCCACTCATGAGTCCGCGGACGCATCGTTTTTAAGAACCTTGCGTCCCAAATAATTTTGCTGCGTCTAGGACGCAGATACTTGCGTTAATGAGAACCCTGGAACATTAATCATTTTAACAATATAACATTCTACTTCACAGAATGCTCTTTAATTTCCTTGTTTAATAATTTTGGTTTCTTACCTCGTATGTGTTTTAATTACACCATATACAGATTCATTATATTTTGGTAGCTTTTTTTTGGGGGGGGGGGGGGGTGGAGGGGTGGCGGGGGTGTTATGATGTAGTCTCAAAAGGGGAGAATAAATATTTAAGTTACTAGAATAGTAATATTACTTGGGAAATACTGCTTCCTTGGTTCCTTGGTGTATAATATCTAATGAGATTGAACAACTTCTCAGTTCCAAATATAGAGTATGTATATATGCATTGCAATGAAGTAAATGATTTATGTCAGAATAAAATTTATGTACAGTACACCAGTGTTAAATGGCAGAATTGTTTAATGACAAAACTTCATAACACAATAACTTGGAAGAAAGACTTCTAACAAGTGAGTGGATTGCACGAAACAAAACAAATAGCATACTTACGATTTCAAAGCAGATGTTTATTTTTCTCGTATGTAAATCTTTTGTGGTGAATTCTACATATGTAAATATCCATTCCCTCATAGCTTTATATCCAAACTCAGCACATTTTCCAAATGTAAGAAAACTTTCCCTGTTGGTCGAATGTGTATCAATTTCAACAGAAAATTTATGTTAGAGCTCTTTGGTAAATGAAGATACAAATATGATTTATCAAACATTAGATAGATCGCACCAATGTATTTCGAGAATTAGTGAATACAATGTGCCTTCATTATCTTAATATTGTCTAGATAGAATGTTCTATCGTTAAAATGATATTGTCATACGGACCCGGTTTAATTAATTGTGGTGAGGGCTTGTCCCGAAACACAGATTATTCTAACTAAATATTGTCTTGCAAGATGCATAAGCTATTTTTTTGTCTTTGACTAGCTAGAGCAGTTTAAAATAAATATCTTGATATAATATCAAGTATATTTCAAAAATAAGGTTTTCTTCACATTGAGGACGTAAACTGCAGGGGGAAGGGGGTTGGGGACTCCGCAGTCCAAGTTTATTTTAAAGAGCCCTTCTCCACCGATGTTTTCAGTGTTATTCTAATCAATAAGACTGAAAATGACACCCCCCCCCCTCCCCGAAAAATGGCGGAACTATCATTGTATGTACAATACAATATATTGGCGCAAACACAATTACAATAATTGGCAAAGACACAACATATATAAGAATCATTAATTGTTCATACATTTAAACAATATTCTAGAATGGGAGGAAATGCATAAATCATACAATCACTTGTACAATAGTTATGTAATACAATCATTTCTAGATATATGACATTTTTCAATAAATGAGTGTGTTATTTTCAGTATTTCAGGGCATTAATTGATTATTAAAGCAGAGCTTAACTTTTTTAGTATAAGACATATTTGATATTTTCCCTTGAAAAAAAATTCAACAAATTCCTTTCAAAAGTTAACCTATGATTATTGTATTTTTGGCAGCTGAATAGAAAATGAAATTCATCTTCAATCTCCGGCTTCTGTGTACAGAAATTAATTAAATTAAAGGGACTCCCTCTCTCTCCCTCTTATCCCAACATAGGTTTTAATTTTGACATCTTTCCCCAAATGATTGGGGTATTTTTTATCTTTGTCCTCAATTTATCTAAAAATTATTTGATCGAGAATATATATATTTTACAATCCCTCCGCCTTTAAAAAAATCTTGATCCGTCCTTACACGTACGTTTTGTTTGTTTGTTGTTTAACGTCCCTTTCGAGAATTTTTCACTCAAGACGCCACCACTTGCCGGTGGAGGGCTGATGAAAATTATACCTTTATTCGGCACTTAGGGCCACTGAGCAGTGAGGGATCTTTTTTGTGCCAACACCTAAGTACTGCAACACGAGACTTCGGATCCGTCTCCAGGTCCCGCAGTGGATTCAAACCCGCGACGTAAGGGTCAACTCCCTACACCGCGACTCTAGAGCAAACGCTCTAACCACTGCGACTTACACGTGGGTGACTGTTACACGTTTTTAAAAGGGTAAAAAGATTTAAATGATATCTTTTTTTTTTAATTTGAGAATTTTACATTTTCTATGCCGGATTATCTGATTATAGCTGCACAGTACAAACCCTATTAGGATCAATCTATGGTGAAAAAAAACAAGAGGCCCAAGGGCCTTAACGGTCACCTGAGTATGATACAACAATTTAAAGGATGCATAGAGTATAATATGAACTGAAAGGTGAAACTTTGTTGCCAAAAAGCAAGAAAAATAGGGTGATCATGATCAACAAAATAATTGGTCTTAACATTCATTAACAGTTTATAAATTATGTTCTATAAATCTGATCCCCATTTATCACTATCACCATACAGTATATTAACAAATTATCAATGCTTCTGTACTATTTTAATCCTTTGTTGAAATTTCTTACATTGGCCTCTCTTGGTCCTTACTGAACATTTAAGAAGACAAGTTATTTTTGTCTCATTTTTATTTATCTACTACTTACAAGTCTATCTGATCATTAAAACTATGAAAGTACTTTCTATATTATACAATAAAAGTTTTTGCATAATTATCGTATTCTATTTACCTTTCAAGTACATTATTTACAGTGATAAATTATCAAAAGTAAATGGCAAAGGGGAATAACTCCTCTCAGTAGAATACAAAATAATAGAGCCCTGGCCAGGACCAGAACACTTGACCAAAATGGTCCAGATGTTCAAAAATCTGGTAAAAATAATCTTCCTTATTAAAACTTTTACTCTTCTTGCCTCTGATATGCCCAGGTGCGGAGAAGATTTTTAAAGAAACAAGCATTCTGAGAGTATTGCATTAGCAATACTAGTCCCCTACTGGCAAGTGTAATCTGGTTCCGTTCCCGTTAAGAATTGAAAATGCCATAATTCCGTCAAAAATTAATGAAGCTGGACGAAATGCAAACATGATCTATAACTAATCAAGGTAAAGCCACACACCAAAAATCAGCTCAATATCTACAAGCGTTTAAAAGAAAATTGCGGAAAACCCGTAAAAATTGAAAAGGCCGTAATTCCGTCAAAAATCAATGAAGCGAAACGAAATGCAAACTTGATCTGTAACTCATCAAGATACACTCACATACCAAAAATCAGCTCAATATCTGCAAGCGTTTAGGAAAGAAAGTGCGGAAAACCAAGTGGGACAGACTGACAGACAGACAGAGGGACAGACAGACAGACGGACAGACAGACAGACAGACAGACAGACGGACGGACAGACTCAGAGGAAACCTATAGTCCCCTCCGGTTTCACCGGTAGGGGACTAATAATGCATTTTTACTACAGATTCACTATATTATCAATAGAGCCCCCCCCCCCCCCCCACCAGAGCTTCTGACCCTGGGACCATAAGTTTGCTTATCATAACTAATCACTTTGTTTACCTGCTTAACACCAAGGAGCAAACAGGATTATTTAATAGAATTAATGCATTTTTACTATATTATCAAGAGCCCCACCCTCACACCAGCACATCTGACCCAGGGGTCATGGAATTCACTACTCTGGAAGAAGCACTCTTGCTCATCATAACTATACACTTAGCTTCATTGCTATTTTAACCAGAAGCAGAAAGGAATATTTTCAAATACATTTTGCTTTTTCACTTTATAATCAATAGAAGCCCCCCCCCCCTCCCCTCACCAGAACCCTTAAATCTGGGGTCATAAAATTCACAATTTTGGAAGAGGCATCCTTGCCTATCATAACAATGTACTTAGTTTGTTTAAACAATACCCAGGGGCAGAGAAGAAGATTTTCAAATAAATAATTCACCTTCACTACAGGATCTATATAGCCCCACCCTAGCACCAGAACTCCTGTCCCCAGGGCCATGAATTTCACAATTTTGGAAGAGGCATCATTGCTTATCATAACAATGTACTTAGTTTGTTTGAATAATACCCAGGGGCAGAGAAAAAGATTTTTAAAGAATTAAAACATTTTCACATTAAATCAATAGAGCCCCGCTCTAACACCAGAACCCCTGATCCAGGAGCCACGAATTTCACAATTTTGGAAGAGGCATCCTTGCTTATCAAAACTATGTATTTAATTTGTTTCAATAATACCCAGGAGCAGAGAAGTAGATTTTCAAAGAATTAAGGCATTTTCACTATATAATCAATAGAGCCCCTCCCTAACACCAGAACGCCTGACCCTGGGGCCATGAAATTCACAATTTTGGAAGAGGCACTTTTGCTTATCATAACTATGTACTTAGTTACTGTAGTTAATACCCAGGAGCAGAGAAGAAGATTTTCAAAGAAGTAATGCATTTTCACTATATAATCAATAGAGCCCCGCCCTTACACCAGAACCCCTGCCCCTGGGGCCATGAAATTCACAATTTTGAAAGAGTCACTCTTGCTCATCATAACTATGTACTTAGTTACTGTATTTAATACCCAGGAGCAGAGAAGAAGATTTTCAAAGAACTAATGCATTTTCACTATATAATCAATAGAGCCCCGCCCTAACACCAGAACCCCTGACCCTGAGACCATGAATTTCACAATTTTGGAAGAGGCACTTTTACTCATCATAACTATATACTTAGTTAGTTTATTTAATACCCAGGAGCAGAGAAGAAGATTTTCAAAGAAATAATGCACTTTCACTATATAATCTATATAGCCCCTCCCTAGCACCAGAACCCCTGACCCTGGGGCCATGAATTTCACAATTTTGGTAGAGGGGTCAATGCTTATTACAATCATGCCAACAGTTTGACTGCTTGATGTCCAGGAGTAAAGAAGAAGATTTTTAAAGATTGCATTAATTTTGGTGGTTTTAGCCACACCCCTCAGGCCCCAGGGGGGCAGGGATCATAAAATTCACAATTTTTGTTCCCCTTCACCCATAGATGCTATATGCCAAATTTGGTTGAAATTGGTTGAGCGGTTTCAGAGAAGAAGCTAAAAATGTTCAAATGTTAACGCACATCGCACGACGCACGCCGACGGACAAAAACGGATAGCAATAGGTCACCTGAGTGACTCAGGTGACCTAATGAAAAGGCGTTATAACGGCTTTTGAACATGCTCATAACGCGAAAAAGGCGTTATTACGCCAGGCGCGGATTCAGGATTTTTTCCAGGCGGGGGGGGGGGGGGGAAGTCCACAACAGTCAAAAAAAATTGAACCCAGAAATTTCTCGACAAGCAAGCCAAAGAAAACCCCCTAAGTATGATTGTTGGGAAGGGGGGGTGTTCGACGCTCTACTTCACTTCTTAAGCTTCATATATATGACTTTTCCTACCAACTTAACAGGGGTTTGCGTTTTCAGCGGGGGGGGGGGGCGGTTGCAAGGTCACTTTTAGTTGCTTTAGTATATACATTTGATAACTCTGCAAAGGGGGGGGGTCCGCCTCCCCCTCCTCTAGATCCGCACATGTACGCCTTTTCAAAAGGCATTATTACGCCTGTTTGGAAATAACGCCTTAAACTAGCTAGATCCCCCCTCTTTTTTAAGCCAGATGTGTCTCACGTCAAGTGTTTCATCCTCTATCATCAATGATATTACACTATTTTACGTACTTTCACCAATTTCATATGAATAAATAATATTTTTCAATTGTGTAAGCAGTAAATTGTCTTTATTTGTCCGTTTATATACCGGGATGAAAGTTGCAAATATTGTAGAAAAAAATGACATAACCCGCTTATCTGCAGCATACACGGCTTAGATGATTAATACATTTGTTTCAATTTCTTTTTTAAAAAGGAATTAATCATTTTTTGGTATAAAGGGCCCATGGTTTACCATAATCAGAAAAGAATTTCAAAGGTGTAATGTACTTTCAATGTACTGTATGTTAATAGTATTTTGATTTCAATCTTGTAATTTACACCAATTCACACCTATAGATCAAATATTTGAAATATCACTATTAATTATAAAATTCATATTAATTTGTTTATTCAATTCTGATTAAATTGCTGCTGGCATATAAGCTATGCAATTGTCCGTATTCTTACGTATCGCCTATTTATCAATTAGTTTTGAAATATATATCAAGCTTCTTCAGTATAAGGTGTGGAATATTAAATCGGTCTATAAACAGGAGTGAGTGTTCAGTTCTTGGTACATCCAGACGGTAATATTGCTGTGCAATATTTCCATGTTCAATAGTACTAGTGTACATTTATCTCGGTAAAAAAATCACAAGTAGTGGGCTGTAGAAATCCAGCAGCTGTGTGCTTGGTTTCAAATCAGATTGGAACCGTGATTGATTTTGTAACAGGGAATGAGAAAATGATTGGCTAGACTGGGAATCGAACCCTGGACCCCTACATCATTAGCCACGTGCTCTACCAATTATAACTGAGTGAGCCAGGCTGATACCTCCTTAAAATGTCTTTGCCTTTTAAGTTCTTATTTGCCGGTGGCAGGACTTTCACATGCAAGTCTGGGCTTATGTAACAGGACAGGAGATTGAGTCTGGAACCTGGGAATCTGGGACCCCCGCATCACTAGTCAGATGCTCTAACTGATCAACCAAGGCTGCTATCCACAGCCAAAACTATTACAATTTAAATTTGTTAATCACCAGTCTTAAGTAATTTTTCAAAAGTTTGACTCAGAATCCTTAATTATACGGAATTCTTCTTTTCTTCATCTGAACTAATTAAGGGCGAATTATGCATTGTTCAACTTCCTTGTTCAGTGTCACTGAATTCAATGTAAATGCGAATTAAGACAAAATAATCAAAGTGGATTTCATTTTCAACATAGATGTAATTTTAAACGAATGCACATAAAACATATATAATAGCAACAGTCATAGATATGTATTTAACTTCTGACCAAAAAAAGAAACGATGAAGGTTCCTGGACCAGTCCTTTTCCGAGTCACATTTTTCATCTAGTGCATGTTTGTATAGACAAATGGCCATCATTTAATAAGCTTTATTACATTTTCAACAGTGAAATACTGTGATTTATTTATTAAATAAAAGTGATATTCTCTCACAGTGTGAAAGGATACCAAAATGATATTCTCTCACAGTGTGAAAGGATATCAAAGTAAGTAAAAAATATTTTCTGGCCTGTCATAAGATAGAGATAGTAACTAAGCATCTTGATAAGCTAAAACTGCAAATTTCTTCCCAAATATGTTGCTAAAATCCATGCTATGTAATGTTTTCAATCACACAACTGCTAAGCTATGACGTCTCAACCGCTCAACTATGACGTCAAGCCTATGACACTGTGTTATGAAAAGACAAAGTAAAAATCAAAGAAAATGTTATAAACAGAAAATTCAATGTTTTGTAGATGAATATGGAATTTATTTCACGAGTGGGACAGGATTTTTTGATATTTTCACTCGTGCTTCGCACTCGTGAAAATATCAAAAAATCCTGTCCCACTCGTGAAATAAATTCCATATTCATCTACAAAACATTGAATATCCTCTATGTATTTAGTTCATAAATTACAGGAATGTTTCCCTTCTAGCCTACACATACTTTGCAGCCTATTTTGGTCCATTCACAACCCTGAGGCTCTGACTTTCACAAGTTTGTATCTACCACATACATTTGTATCTGGAGTTTTGGACTTGATCAGAATATTGCATATTTGATGTCTTCTTAAATACACCCATTCTGCATACAGCACACTACCAGGTAATTTTATTAAACCACAAAACCTCAACTTCAAAAGATCATAAACATGGTCAAATTAGCCACTGTTACTAGTATTCAAACAAGTCATGTTCTCATCATTGACCTTTGACCTATTGTCTAGTTCTCCTTCCTTGATAACCTGGTTCCAGCTGCTGCCCCTGAACTCTCCACCAGCATTAGAGGATTCAAAGGCAGTATTGTCTACTCCCATTTGGGCAGGACTTTTTAGCTGTTGTTGAAGCATTTCCATTTCAGATGTGATTGAATTCTGTGTATTCAACCGATTCTCCTTGGAATATTTGGTCTCTGACATTAACTCAGTTTTAGACAGTTCTGGCTCATCTTGAACCTTTATTATATTTTCATTAAGATTTTCAGTTTGAAGACAACTTGGGGTATCCTCATTAGACTTCTTGGCTTCATTCTTTATTGATCGTCTGTACTGCAAGATAGCAGGAGTAGAAAATTCAAAACAGGTATTAGGGGAACTTTCAGTATTTTGGGTTTCTGTGGCTTGTGGAGGATTTTTGACAGATTCACTGCATTTGTCTGATTCATCCGGAATGTCCTCTACTGATTGCCAAGCCTTGGCATGCCTGTTCGGTCTAATGGATCCTCGAAATGGTCGACCAGTGCTTTTGTCAATCAGGTCCACCTTAGAGTTAGTGTCCTCTGGATTTTTCACAGTGGACAACCTCTGCTTTCTCCTCAGAGAAGCTGATGTGATTGTAATTGTTGGGATAATTGGCTTTTTGTCCTGGTCTGTTGGTTGATTCTGGACAATGTACACAGATTTTCCATCAATTTTTCCAATGGAGGCAATGGTGGGAGGTTGAGGCGTTTGCTGGATCCTGCTGTTGTTTAAGGTGGACTCAAAATCTGGGAGGATACTGAGATAGGAGACCCTGGAAGTTCTGGTGCCCCGGCAAGGGACGGTCAGGAAGTTACGACTGGTGTTGATCGGTAAATCAGTTTTGTTCAGGTTCTGAGATTCCTAAATGAAATGAAAGTAAAAAGTCTGTAAATTCTTAAAAGCATATACTAAAATCTTTATTTAATCATACTAAAATTGCAACACTTTTTTAGAGTTTGAAGTTAAATTATACATATGCATTTAATTTATTTACATTAAAGACATTTTTACCTCCATGAAAACAGGACTCTCCAGAGACCCATCACAAGATGGAAAAGAAGACTCCCTGACATACAAATCTAAAACAAACAAAAGACAAATCACAAGACTGAAAGGAAGACTCCCTGACATACAAATCTAAAACAAACAAAAGACGAATCACAAGATGGTAAGGAGGACTTCCTGACATACAAATCTAAAACAAACAAAAGACAAATCACAAGATAGAAAGGAGGACTCCCTGACATACAAATCTAAAACAAACAAAAGACAAATCACAAGATAGAAAAGAAGACTCCCTGACATACAAATCTAAAACAAACAAAAGACAAATCACAAGATAGAAAGGAAGACTCCCTGACATACAAATCTAAAATAAACAAAAGACAAATCACAAGACAGAAAGGAAGACTCCCTGACATACAAATCTAAAACAAACAAAAGACAAATCACAAGATAGAAAAGAAGACTCCCTGACATACAAATCTAAAACAAACAAAAGACAAATCACAAGATAAAAAGGAAGACTCCCTGACATACAAATCTAAAACAAACAAAAGACAAATCACAAGATAGAAAGGAAGACTCCCTGACATACAAACCTAAAACAAACAAAAGACAAATCACAAGATAGAAAGGAAGACTCCCTGACATACAAATCTAAAACAAACAAAAGACAAATTAGAAGATGGTAAGGAGGACTCCCTGACATACAAATCTAAAACAAACAAAAGACGAATCACAAGATAGAAAGGAAGACTCCCTGACATACAAATCTAAAACAAACAAAAGACAAAACACAAGATAGAAAAGAAGACTCCCTGACATACAAATCTAAAACAAACAAAAGACAAATTAGAAGATGGTAAGGAGGACTCCCTGACATACAAATCTTAAACAAACAAAAGACGAATCACAAGATAGAAAGGAAGACTCCCTGACATACAAATCTAAAACAAACAAAAGACGAATCACAAGATAGAAAGGAAGACTCTCTGACATACAAATCTAAAACAAACAAAAGACGAATCACAAGACGGAAAAGAAGACTCCCTGACATACAAATCTAAAATAAACAAAAGACAAATCACAAGATAGAAAAGAAGACTCCCTGACATACAAATCTAAAACAAACAAAAGACAAATCACAAGGTGGAAAGGAAGACTCCCTGACATACAAATCTAAAACAAACAAAAGACGAATCACAAGATAGAAAGGAAGACTCCCTGACATACAAATCTAAAACAAACAAAAGACAAATCACAAGACGGAAAAGAAGACTCCCTGACATACAAATCTAAAACAAACAAAAGGCGAATCACAAGATGGAAAGTAAGACTCCCTGTATACAAATCTAAAACAAACAAAAGACAAATCACAAGATAGAAGGGAAGACTCTCTGACATACAAATCTAAAACAAACAAAAGACAAATCACAAGATGGTAAGGAGGACTCCCTGACATACAAATCTAAAACAAACAAAAGACAAATCACAAGATAGAAAGGAGGACTCCCTGACATACAAATCTAAAACAAACAAAAGACAAATCACAAGATAGAAAAGAAGACTCCCTGACATACAAATCTAAAACAAACAAAAGACGAATCACAAGATAGAAAGTAAGACTCCCTGACATACAAATCTAAAATAAACAAAAGACAAATCACAAGATAAAGGAGGACTCCCTGACATACAAATCTAAAAATCAAAAGAAGAATGTCTTACATACACCTTAAGAATATAAGGAGTATCTGTCATACATCTCTGCAAAATACTGAGGAGTGTTTGACATACACCTCTACAAAACAGGGAGTGTCTAACATACTCATCTACATAATAAGGAGAAGTGTCTGACAGACACATCTACCTAATAAAGAGGAGTGTTTAATTGACATACATCTAACAAAATATGGAAAAGTGTTTAATTTTATATACAACTCTACAAAATAAAAATAAAGAAAATAATATGCTTTAGAAGATATAATTTGAGATGTTGACAGAGGTACATGTAAATGAAAATCCTTGTGCTTCACCTGGCCAACTTTTCTCTTTGAATGAAGTTCCCACATGAAGGTAAATAATTTGAAAATGACATATTAATAAATTACAAGAGGCCCATGGGCCACATTGCTCACCTGAGTAACTTTGGCCATGCTGTTCTTTACCAGTTTCCTCCCCCCTTGGTATACCTATTGTGGCCCCGCCCTACCCCCGGGGGTCATGATTTGAACAATTTAGAATCTACACTACCCACGGATGCTTCCACATAAGTTTCAGCCTTTCTGGCCCAGTGGTTCTTGAGAAGAAGATTTTTAAAGATTGTTACTACATATTACAATGTAAAATTTGGGTTCCCTATTGTGGCCCCGCCCTACCCCAGGGGGTCATGATTTGAACAAATTAGAATCTACACTACCCAAGGATGCTTCCACATAAGTTTCAGCTTTTCTGGCCCAGTGGTTCTTGAGAAGAAAATTTTTTAATGACCAAACCCAATGTTTTGTATTTTCTTGATTATCTCCCCTTTGAAGGGGACTTGGCTCTTCATTTTAAAAATTTAAACTCTCCTTTACCCAAGGATGCTTTGTACTAAGTTTGGCCAAAATTGGCCCAGCGGTTCTTGAGAAGAAGTTGAAAATGTGAAAAGTTTACAGACGGACGGATAGATGGATGAACGACGGACAACGGGTGATCAGAAAAGCTCACTTGAGCTTTCAACTCAGGTGAGCAAAAAAGTGGCAGTGGTATTTTCCCTTAGATAGGTAACCCTTACTTTTAAACAAATTGAAGTCATCTCTGTATCCTTTGACATTCTCGTAGTCCCCCGACCCCCCGTAGTAAGAGTATGCGGTGATGTTACTCATTTCTCCATTTTTAACTGGTGGATTAGAAATCTACAATAGAAAAAAGCTTAAAAAACTTCAATCTAAATTCATTCTTCACAGTTATTTCTCCTGGCTACTGTTAATTACTTACAGTTATTCTGAAATCTCCTGGCTACTGTTAGTAATTTACAGTTATTCTGGTGTCTCCTGTAAGTTATTTTAGTAATTTACAGTTATTCTGATGTCTCCTGGCTACTGTTAGTTATTTTAGTAATTTACAGATATTCTGGTGTCTCCTGGCTACATTTAGTTATTTTAGTAATTTACAGTTATTCTGATATTACCTGGCTACATTTAGTTATTTTAGTAATTTACAGATATTCTGGTGTCTCCTAGCTACTGTTAGTTATTTTAGTAATTTACAGTTATCCTGATGTCTCCTGGCTACTGTAAGTTATTTTAGTAATTAACAGTTATTCTGATGTCTCCTGGCTACTGTTAGTTATTTTAGTTATTTACAGTTATTCTGATCTCTCCTGGCTACTGTTAGTTATTTTAGTAATTTACAGTTATCCTGATGTCTCCTGGCTACTCTAAGTTATTTTAGTAATTAACATTTATTCTGATGTCTCCTGGCTACTGTTAATAATTTACAGTTATTCTGATGTCTCCTGGCTACTCTTAGTTATTTACAGTTATTCTGATGTCTCCTGGCTACTGTTAGTTATTTTAGTAATTTACAGTTATTCTGATGTCTCCTGGATACTTTTAATTTTCAGCTATTCTGATGTCCTCTGGCTACTGTTAGATACTCAGTTATTTTGATCTCCCCTGGCTACTATTAGTTACACTTATTCTGACTTCCTCTGACTACTATAAGTTACAGTTATTCTCATGTCTCCTGGCTACAGTTAATTACTAACAGCAATTTTCAAGTGGCTACTGTTAGTTACTCACGGCTATTTTTAGGTCTCTCAGTCCTCCTAAATCAGGGTGAGGACGGTGCTTCTTCCTAAATCTCTGGACCACCATCTCTGACGTGTCCTGGTCAGCACAGTACAATGCAATTGACTGCCTCCTCTTTCTGAAAAATGTAAACATTGGTTATCAGAGATTACAGAGGTCACCTCAAGGAATGTTGTCTTTAAATAAGGCAAAATCCCACACTAAACTAATAATCTAGAAGTCTGCATCCCTAGATGCAACATTCATGCAATTGTGGTCTGATAGGGCTTGCAGTTACTTTGAAATGGACTTATCTAAGAACTTTAAACTAGTCACTCATCCAGAAAATGTAAGTCAAATCTAGCATCTGAAGCAAGTTTAAAAATGTTTGTCCTTTAATGCATCATCCATGCAAATTTGGTTCAGATAGGTCTTGTAGTTTCTTGGCAATGGACCTGCTCCAAAAACTTTAACCTAGAAAATGTAGGTCAGATCCAGCATCCGAAGCAAGTCAAATAGTGTGCATCTTTACATGTATCATCCATGCAAGTTTGGTCAATATAGGGCTTATAGTTACTTGGAAATGAGATCTGCTCCAAAAAACTTTAACCTGGTCACTCATCCGGTAAATGAATGTCAGATTCAGCATCCGAAGCAAGTCAAATAGTGTGCATCTTTACATGTATCATCCATGCAAGTTTGGTCAACATAGGACTTATAGTTACTTGGAAATGAGATCTGCTCCAAAAACTTTAATCTGGTCACTCATCCAGAAAATGTAGGTCAGATCAAGCATCTGAAGCAAGCCTGGTAGTGAGCATCCTTAGGTGTATCATCCATGCAAGTTTGGTCAACATAGGGCTTATTGTTACATGGAAATGAGACCTTCTCCAAAAGCTTTATTCTGCTCCAAAAACTTTAACCTGGTCATTCTTTAGCTGAAATTGCAGCATCTGAAACCTTGAATGGTACAATGAAACACACTAGAAGCATCCTCCATGCATCTCTGATTAATATAGGGCATAGAAGTACTTGAAAAGAAATCTGCTCCAAAAACTTTAGCCTCAGGCTGGGACACTGACAGTATTACATAAGCTCCCCCAACTTCATTGAGGGAGCTAAAAAATAGTGTTCACATAAAGCCATCATAAAGTTTTAGGGATAAAAATCTTTCTTCATTTATCTTTATACACAAGTATGCCATTGTGCAATTTTCGCAAACATATCAGGGATTTATCAGCCTATTTTGGGAAACGCCATTTTTGGGAAATTGGGAAAAAATTATCGGCTATTTGATGAAATTGGGAAAAATTTAAAATGTTGCTTAAATCATGTATTCAGGTGTAATTCATTTAATATTTCAGCATGAACTCTAATTTGGGCAACCAAACAGACAATTAAATATATTTAACTTTCTCATACAAGATCAATTATGAATAATAGACTAATAAAAGTAAAATTGACTTCAATGAGTATTAAGTGTTTATACAACTTAGGGTAGTACATGAGTGTATGAGATTCCAATTTAAGTCATAATAGAATCTGTTTCTGGAGATTATAAATCTTCTGCAAAAAATTGTATCAAGTACACATTTTCTCAAAGTCCTCTTTTAATATGTATCAGAACATTGAAAATATATTTTTCTATCTGAAAAAAATGCCTACAGTCCTAACCATTCACTCGTAGATCAATTGAATAACTTACTAAATATATACAATGACACAAAATCACCATTTTCAGAAAAACAGAGGAAATTCGGATTAGAAGTTGGCGATGTTTTTACAGTGTTTTTAAACATGAGATATGACTGTAGCTTTGCTAAATGAGTTAAACAGATGAAAATTACAGACAATGTGACAGTTTTACTCTGTGTTTTTTAAAGATAATTAAATATAAAAGCATTGTTCACCAATTGGGAAAAAATACTGCCAAATTGGGAAAATCTGAACTCATTTTCAATTGGGAATGGGGCCGAATTTCGGCCCCTGAGAAAGTACTGATAAATCCCTGCATATACACTAAGTAATCTTAGTATATTTTTGAATCTCTTTGCACTTACTTGATCAAATACTGAATACCACTGGTTACTATGTAGTACTTACAGACAGAAATACAGAGGTATTACACACAACAGAGGTCCAGCAAGGACAACCAGTGCATACCATCCCTGGTCCATGCCAGATGATTGAGAAGAACCATCTGCAAGGTTATATAATTATAAAATATTGGAATACAGCAATATTACTGTACTTGAACCATATTATAACTATAGAGATACTTTTGTGATTACCAGATTCATGGACCAGTGGCAAAAGTTGTGTAAAGCTGAGAGTGAACCCTTGGTACAGGCGTGACATTTGACCTCCTTCTGTTGACCCCCCATACATTGACAACCAAAACTTGTTCCGAGAGAGTGTTAGTTCCCCCGGAGATTCTGTCCCACAGACTGGGCCCAGCTCACTCCTTCTGTTGCCTTAATAAAATAAATCAATGAGTTCGATTGATCTACATTGGAAAATCTAACTTCTTACTTATAGTTATTCCCATTGAGCACACACTAGACATTTTTAACTAAATACTGTCTGCAGTTACACATGTACGTTTGCTTCAATGAATGAAAAATTGGTTCTTCCCCATTTTACACACCTTCTACCCAAGATGTATCTGCTGACAAAATTTGATTATTCTGGACCTCATAGTATTTAAGCTATAAGCTGTAGGGATAAGTATCGATAGGGAAAAAGTCGTGATATATTGGTATTTTTAACAAGTGTATCATGATGCGAGTTGAAACGTATCACTTTTCTTTTTTTCTATAAAAAGTTATAAAACATAATTTCTATTTAAAATTGTTGGGAATAAATGTAAATTTAAATCTACAAATACAATGTACAACTTTAATGATATATCAACTATTCAGAATTTTAGCCTAAAAAAATATTTTGTAAAGCAGTTAAATGAAATAAATTCTAATTTTCAAACTGTACCCAAAAACCAGTATTCCAACTTATTGCTGTACTGTAACAGACTTCAAGTGAAACGCATCATAATATACTCTGATACCCATATACTGAACATCCCTAATGAGCCAATAGGAAAAAGCTAACAGATGGACAGACTGTTCTGTCGGGGGGGGGGGGGGGGGGGGGGGATAATTTCAATGCGCTCTCTAACCACATCAATCAGATATTTATGGATATTAACTTCAAAAATATACTGTACTTAACTTTTTTACGTATATTGTATCACAGGAAGCATCAATTTTATATGTCAAAAAAAAAATTGTCCAAGTTTCATATTACATGATGCTATACAAGATAATTACCCTAACAGATGTAAATACCAGTTTTTAACTTTCTGTGATTTTTTATTGAAGAGAACAAGTGATGTAAGATAACCTCTGACCTTTTGTGTCTATGGTTCCCAGAAGCAGAAATCCTTCCTTACAATGTCCATTGTCTCCCTCAGGCAGATCAAAATGAAGGAAATTCAGTTGAACTGACGAGCCTTCTGGTAATATGACCAGCCAATCACAGTGAAAGAGAGGTTGAAGGTCAACATCAAAGGAGGGGGACGTGATGTTACCCTCACGTGAAATCATGGTACTTCCACAGTCTGTAATGACTTTGGGAAAAGTTATTGTTACATTCATCTCTATGTATATAACTTCCTTTTTTTCAAAATTCATTAGTAAATATGACTAATTCTGTCAGTTTTTCCTGATCTACCCATAAACAATCCATTTTAATGCAGACAGTTTTTTTTTTTATAAACTGCTACCTTAAACAGAAATGGTCATCAGAATTTATAATAATTTTCGATCATCATTATCAAAATTTCCATCTTTGCCTACCTGATCCATTAGTATTCAATCCATAGGTCAGAATACCATTGAGAGAAATAACAATCACTGAGGCTAACAGAACTGGCACCAATTCAGTAATCTAAATAACATAAATAAACATTAATGCGACAAGAACTAGTAAGTGTAGAGTACAGATTTTTTTTGTTTCTTCTTGTATAAATTTTCTAAAATATTCTTATCAATAACTTACTGGTACAAGCACCTTTATACTTCATAATCTGTTTATGGGGTATAACAACTTGTGGTGTAAATTTTTGCTATATTTACACAGTTATTGATGCAAATTCAAGAAACAGTGAATATTATTAGATAATTATATGTTTACGTCTTTAACACATGCTGAAGAAAAATGGAGTCTGTGCATATTCAAATACTTATTCAAAATGGGCAAAGCAAAAGTCATCAAACATTATTATTGAGGGGACACAAATATTATGGTAGCTATGTTTTCTATTGTATTCTTTATATTGGGAAAATTATTTGGGGGCATCCCCCGGTTCCTTAACGGCCATGCATACCTAGCATTAACTTACTTGCATAAGCACATTTTTCTATAAGCCTACAATGTGTGAGATTGATCTACAAGAAGTTTTGGTTCTACCAAGGGATAAATGTTCCAGACAGTTGGGTTACAGAAAAAAAATAAATTCTTTACCAAACATTGTTGCATTTCATGTATTTTATGCAGTTCAATACTTTTTGCCAAAATAAAATTGGAAATTTTTAGCGCTGTAAATTTATATCCGTCCAGTTTGGGATATTATATCCCAAACAGGCCAGCAGGCATTATTATTCCATTTGGGCAATAAGTCCTGATGCAACATAATTTATATTCTCTTTAGAGAAGTGGACAGGCTTTCGCCTACATCCACGTGGATGTAGGCGAAAGCCTGTCCAATTCTCTAAAGAGAATACATAATTTACAAAGGTAGCCTTAAATTGATAGGAGCAATGATTATTTTCAAGCCCTGTGCATTGTCCTCTTAACATTGCCAGGACATGGTACTAATTGTATATCCCCACTATACAATGTCTGTTTTATGACATGATCTTCAAGCAGTAAAGATCAAATACCTGTATCATTTTCTTTTCCTTTACTGGCTTTAGTTGAAATTTGGCGCCATCTGTCTGATGTCCTTTGCTAATACGTTTAAAAGTATGTCGGATTTTATTACAATAGGATTTTGATTCAAATATATTTAATTGCAGGGATTTTACGATGAATCTAAAATAAAAGAATATCATTTTATGATTTCAAGCTAAAAATATATTCACTTAAATCAATTTAAAAAGTCATGAATATTTTTGGGTTGAGTTATTGAAATCCAAAAACCGGAAGTATCTTGAGAAATGTCAGGTGATTGAAAGATGGAAAGACAGCTTGAAAAACATCTTGAAGAAACGTAAGATATATCATGTATTTAACCTTCTGGTTGTTTATTCACATGGACACTTTTTCTTTTTCTGTCTAAAAGTGCAACCTTTAAAGCGAGCTTAGTTAGCTTTGTTGCACAGGCACTACAAATGCTTGTCACGATCTATCTTCTTTAACAGGTTGGGCACACCCCACCAAATGGTCATTTATCCCCCGTTTGGTGGACAATCTCCCATATCGGAGACGAATTTTACTGACCAATTGGTGGACTTCTTTATTCTATTCCAAATTTTATTAAAATAAAGCAAAAGCGCATTTACTTAGGCATTGGGGAATTTTAGTGAACATATTCGTCGCACAATTAACATAGTTTGGTCGATTTCCAATGTGCAATTTCTCTATAACTTCCTAAAAACGATACCCATAGTTGTCCGTAACAGCCGAACTTCTTGATCACTCGATCAAAAAAAAATTGATTGTGTCTAGTAGGATAAAAATTCTATTTTATCCAGTGGTTTAACTCTTGATAAGTTAAGTTTCAATCGCTTTTTGGATCTTCGTCAACATTTATTTCCATAAAATCCCGTTAAACACAAGCTCCTCATTACTTTACTGGTACGGTGGGCACTTATTGCTATAAAGTTAAATTTTTAAATACTTGAACGTAATATCTGTTGTTATTTTTCTTTTAGGATGAAGTTGCATATTCCATACGACCTTTTGTGGTTTAATATGTATATTACTGATGAATTTAATATACTTGATAAATAATTTTCAATAAAAGATTTACAAAGGGACTTTTGCAATTATTCTTGTATTCGTTCGAAGTACATCGTTTTAAAACAATAATTATATCATAATCTAACTTCATTTACTATTTTTATAGAGAACAAAGCTATTGCGTACAAAATAAAAGGAAATAAAGGCGAAAACTTATTTTTCTTTTGATTTTCTAATAGAAAATTGACACTAATGTGCCTCCGTAGTAAAATCCGACTTTTGACCAGGTTAAAAAAAGATCATCGTTTTTATTGGTTTGCATTATTTGATTGGTTGCCCAGATAATCGAAAGAGAAAGTAAAGAACATGATTGACAGGTGCAGCATCATTGAAGAAGGAGGAAATTTTCTTTTTAAGTAAAAACGGAGAAACGCTGTACTTGTTTACATACGTGACATTTTTTGTCAAATTTTTGAACGACTCTGCGCAAAAAATTACACGTTGAATTTTCGATTTTTTTCACTCAAAACACCGATAAATATTTATATTTTATTCCACATGGTTTAAAATTATGCGCCATTCCACGCCATTCTATGGAATTGAACACAACCATTTTTCTCTCCCAAATGGTCAGTAAAATTCGTCTCCGATATGGGAGATTGTTCACCAAACAGGGGATAAATGACCATTTGATGGGGTGTGCCCAACCTGTTTAACTTATTTACTTATCCAGTATAATAATATACAATTATGGACTGTTTAGAAGGGAGATATCACCCATTATCAGGTCTGAGTAGGGTTCTTACCCTCGGGCGCTTATTATAAATTTAAATAATAATTAAGGTGCATCTTTAAAACGGGTCGAACTTGTTGTTTATCATCTTGTGCACTTGCACGGGGCAAAATTCTGGGTTTAATTTGACAACTTTTACCAGGGTGAAGAGTGGAGAAGAAATGTATGAAAATTCATCCCTAAAACATTTTATCTAAGAAGGCATGAAGATAAGTTTAAAATTGATACAGATTTGTAAAACATTTTAGACTTTGTTTTTATATCCTCCATCACTTGAAAATGAAACGATGTAGTTTTCGATGCAAAATTGACAAAATTGAAAGTAATCATTTGCCAAAATTTTTTGTCATATTCATCATCATTGTGATTTTATTAAGAAATTTGGTACTCACCATATTGCGCCATTCCAGTGTTTTGCCATGAAATGCAAATAAAGCAAAAAGTAGGTAAAAATAGCTACCTGGAGTAGGTTTAAATACCTAGGTAGCTATACGTAGCTATGTAGGTAGAAATAGTCTTTGGACTGGTCCTGTTAACAGTCCACAATTGTTTTATTATCCTGAAGAATCTAAATTAATTATAAGCATGATAAGATAGAGTATAAAATATCAGTTAAACCTCGTATTCTCCTACTCACTGCTCCGATTCCATACTTTCAAAATATATCAACAGACAACTTTGAGGTCACCGCTAGAAAGTTTTGTTTACCAATCCCCCATATAAATTATATAATTTTAAATATGGGTTATCTTGCTTATGACACTTAATTATTTTCATCAAAAAGGAGACAACACAGTTGTTACCCTGCAGGCCTGCTTGTGCTATATTTCATTGTCATCTGAAGGATTGATTGATTGTATATTGTTTTACGTCCCATTCGAGAATTTTTCACTCATATAGAGACGTCACCATATACCCGTGAAGGGCTTCAAATTTTGACCTATACTCAGCACTCAGGGCCATTGAGCAGTGAGGAATCTTTATCGTGCCAACGCCTGCCGTGACACGGGGCCTTGGTTTTTAAGGTCTCATCCAAAGGACCCGCAACTTCAAAGTGTCGAGCGCATGGCGAAGGAACAGTTGCTACCTATATTTATCGACTTAGGTCTGTTGTGGTCGACATTCGAACTCATGACCTCCCGATCACGGAGCGAGCGCTCTACCGACTGAGCTACCATGATTGGTATCATCTGAAGGAAGACAACAAAGTTGTCAACCTCATGTGAGGGAGACATCACGAATTGTCTCCCATACGTTACCTGCTCTAAACCAGTCAGATTAATTGTATAATTTTGAAGGATAATAATGCAAATTGTATAACAATTCCTTTTTTCTTTGAAGAAATTGTCAAACTCGGCACTCTTATAAAAATGCCTCTGCACACCACACCTACACATTATAGTGTAGGGTGGTCATTTAGGACGAAGACAAATATACAGTTATCGTGAAATGATGTCATACACTGTGCAGACGCATGTTTAATGAGTGCTGAATTTGACAGTTTTTTCATAATAATTTTATAATTTTGAATGAATGCACTAATTTAAAAGTGATAATTTAAATTATTGTCCTTTGCCCGCAAAAAAATACAGATCTATAGATTATTCAAACTAGATATTTCTGTAGGGAGAATTTCTGTGATGGGAATAATTCTATCATAATTTAAGCATTATTACATTGGTCATGTTGGTACAGTGTATTGCAAAGTTATGAAATACCATTTATATATCTTTTTTCATTTACTTAAATATTATTACATGTAACTCAGGCATTTGCTTCATTGTGTTAATAAGACACATTTTGTTACAGATGCCGTGTCCCAGGTATAAGTGGGGCCCTGTGTGCTGATAACAATGGACTCTGTTTAGCAGGTAAGTAATATAATGGCTCACATTATGAATATGATTTTGACAAAATGAAAATCTTATTAAATTTACAGAAAAGTTTCTTTTTGTTTCATTTTGATAATGTTTTATTTTAAAGTTATATCTGACAGTATTTAAGGTTGTTATTATTAAAGTGAAATTGCTAAGAATTCAGATTTGAAAATTAGTGTGTTTTTTGTGGTATGATTTTTTTTTTACATTCAATTCTTAGCTCGTGGTTGCAAACCAGAACTAGCAGGACAAGTGGCCAGTATTGTCCGCCAAGCAGCTCAGCTTCATCCAAATTCCTCCACATCACCAGTTGTCTGTATTGAATCAGAGGGAGGGTAGGTACCAGATGAACTGAGAAGGAGATTATAGTTAACTCCCCAATCCTTTCAGTGTGTTAGAAGCTTGTCAGTTCTTATTTCACAAAAATTTGACCATCATCAATATACATAATTAAAGTCATCAGTACATAAGGGTATAACTCCTTCCCTAGTTTACAATATGTAGCTCTGGGCCTAACCACTCAGTCTTATTTACTTGTGGGTTACCCATTGATGGGAAAATGTCCGACAGATATTATCTGTCTGAAGTCCCCATCCTGTAAAGGTCTAAATTTATGGGGGAATATATTGCTTTGTTAATAATGAAAATATGTTCTACTGATGTAAGTGATGTCTAAATCACATTTTGTGTTTGTTTAATCATGTTAATTTCTTTTCCTTTTTTTTAATGTTACTTGCTAATCCTTTAATTGACAGAACTGACCTTTCTAACTTTTTCTTTCTTTTTATTTTAGGAGTGTTTTAATTAAATCTGAGGGTGATGTCACTATGGCTGTGTTCAAAAATCCATTATAGCAACAAACTCCTATCATGTCAACATGAACTCTATTACATATTTTGATTGTAAATATTCTTCCTTGTGTATGTAACATGCTAAGTAATAAATGAAATACTCTGCAGAGATGCTCTGTAAACATGTCTTAGAGATACGACTTGAAAACTGTATATTCAAGAGCTAGCATTTATCATAATTTGGAATCCACTCATATCCATTGCCTGAGGAGATACATGTAATGGTTAATGAAAATAAAAATGATTTTAAGTTAATTCTAGTCAATTGTTTGCTCAGTCATTCTAAGCACTATTTTTTTTTTTAAAGTTCCCTGCTCTCTATTTCTGTACCATGTCTGTTTAAAGATAGGTTTGCCTTTGTAGTACCCTGTACATTCATTCTTCTTTACTCCAAACAACAGCTTTGTTTTTGAAGATATTGTTTGATGCTGTTTTTAGCTTTGTGATTTTGGAGAATTTTTTTTAACAGACTGAAGAATAAGAACAGACATATTACCACTTCTCGGGCTCAATGGAGCCAAAAGTGAAAGAAATTGACCTGTCAGGTGGCCCTTCATCATCAAGAATAATATCCATTATTGAAATTCATGAAGTTATTTTAAAATTTTCTTTCGATTTATATGCAGTAAAACATGCTCATAGCAAAGTGCCATGAACATACAATTTTGCTTTATTATAATTTGTTTTATGCATTAAGTTTAAAAAATGTTTTAAAATCTTGGGCAGGAAAATCCCTTCATTATTAGTTTGCTATAAGCATGTTTCACAGACTCTGTATAATAAACAAGAAAAACACACAATTTCAGGACTTTCATTCTGTAATTCAAACACACAAACTACGAATTTGTTATTAATAAGTGTTGTTCATGCAAATCTAAACCAGTGTACGTCTTATGAAATTGTTTACTTGTAACAGTGTGTATGAAAAATTGCTACTTTTCTGGTTAAAATACACGTAAATAATTCTCAAAATTCAGTAATGTAACATTCAAGCAAGATTTTAAAAATCCATATTATTTATTTGCTACATCATAATTTTTTGGTGGGAGCCAAATTTCAATTTCATTAACCATTTCAATCATGCACTACAGTCATGTTTTTGATATGTCTCAAAAAATGCTACTCCATTTGCAGGAAAAAAAAAACTTCAATAAGTTTATGTTCATTGAAAAATCTCACAAAAAAGTGAAATAAAATTTGCATAATGTATTAATTGTCACATATCATGTTAATAAGTTAAAGAAATTAAATTTTAAAAATTTTAATCTCTAATTTTCTCTTTTCATCATTTGTTGAGTGGTTTGGTTTCCTCTGGAAAAGAAAAAAAAGTCATAATTATAATGATGCATATACTCCAACTATTAATGATATAGGTATAGATGGAGAATAAAGTAATATATATTTACATTAAAGCATATAGAGAGAGCTTTAATAATTATTGACTGTTCATGGCCCAGTTGAGCTGCAGAATCAGTACAGGGGTTTTTTTAGGTCTTAAAATCAAGGGCCTGGGCCTTTCCATTTGGGAAAAATAGCAACTTTTGGTTGAAATTGGGAAGAATATCATATTATTTAATATTTTTGTAAATAAATTCAAATAAGAGGATTTTTTTTTTCATTTGCAAGGTATTTTTTGACTTATTTTACATTCAGTCAATCAGTTTTTGGAGCATGCCTTTTAGATTTTTTTTTTTTTGAACACCATTCCTGATAAACGTTAATGAGTTCAGCAATTTTTTAACCATATTTGTTTGTTTTGATTCTCCTTTGGGAATTTTCTTTTATGAAATTGGGAAAAACACCTACTTTTACCATTGGGAATGGGGCCTATTACAGGCCCCCTACAACCCCTAAAAAAACCCTGCAGTAATCGATCATCATTCAAGTGGAAAAATTGTTGGTTTCAGCCTACCTCTTTCAACTGAATATATTACTAAGTCTTAACCAAATTTAATATTCTATATCTATCCAGTCGTATTGCAGATTTGATTTTTAACCATTCATTGGCTTTTTCATGTACAAACTGACCAATCGTTACCTGTGTAATGGTGTCTTCCAATTTCTGGGTTGTTCTTATAGTAGCAGTAGGTAATAAAGAATATGATGATGAAGACGACACAGATACAGGCTGCGGTAACGATCCCCAGAATAAGGTTCTTAGTCATGGCTTCTTCTACTGCATTCATGTTAGACAACTCCTCAGCATCTTTAGAAAATATGCAAAGATGTAAACAGTAGAATCTATATAGGGCTGCAGAAGAAAAGTTAGACCTGAGAGTAGGAATTTTAATATAATTTGCTGCGTTACTTTCAATTTTTCTATCACTGCTCCCAAGCATGATTAAAATTGATTTAAGAAGACATATAATTGCAAAAAAATTTGAAATATTCCATTTCTTTCTTTGACCAATCAAGAACACCCCCACTGTAAAAATATCAAGACAAACTTCCCTATCTGTTCCCACTCCAAACAGCCCCACTCTTGCAATGGCTGTCCTAAACATTCTAGTCCAGTCAATTTATCATGAAACATCAAACTAATTGCACCACAATTTCTTTGTTATAATGAACTCTAGAATGTATAAAATAAATGTAAAACATAAATCTAATAAAATGGGATTAGGAGAAAGTATTATTTGGGGTTCCTAAATTTCTTATGAAAATTGCAATGGGAAAGGGGCATGATAATTGTTGTCACTTCAGTAAATTTTGGTTAACTTTTTTATGCATTTTTCTAACTTAATTAAAAGAAGAAAAGAATGAAATGTGTATAATGACATTTATTGATGCAGTAAAACCTTTTATTCCCAACAAAATAAATTTAAAGATGTCAAGGCCCACAGAGTGTATTCTGCATGCATTTCCTTGCGTCATAATAATGCAATTTAGGTCAGAGCTAGGTTATCGAAACATAGGTCAAATTTTGTCTCTAATTAAATCTCTATGGATATGTTTTTTTCAATTATATTTAATGTTTATGTATGGAATGAAATGATCCATGCATACTAAATCTTAATCTAAGGGAAATTTAATTATTTTTTATTCTTTTTTAAAACTCTGTATTCACTTTTTATTAAAAAATGCATATTCACAAATCAAAAAGTATAAAATTAAATTCAAAATGCCCATTTCAAAGTTATATTATCTATATGAACTAATGATCTATTTAATTGTACCAGAAAAGTTTAAATCAGATTACGATTTCATGAAAAACAGGAATTTTCTTTTTAATCACTTCAGCAAAAACTTTGGATGGATTTGCAGAGTTATGCCCCTTTTCTCGGAGTTTCTCTAGTAATTCCCATAGCTAATTAAATCATGCCAAAGTTATGCTTTCCGCTCATTAGATATTCTTAAATATTTTTATTACTGCAAATATTTTTTTAATGTTAGATTTATAAAAATATAATTTATGTTGCGATTACTTTGACATTGGGTCCACATTTTCGCTAAATTGACTCTTGTCCAGAAGTAACATACTTACCTTTGTTAGATTTCATCACAACGTCATTGGAGACGCCAGGGCATTGCGAAGATATTTCAAACTTGAATTGGAAATCTGTGGAAGGCAATGTAATGGAGCCGTCTGTTGTCAGCTTCACCATTAGAGAGTTCCCCGTAAAACACGTAGACTGCATCGTTTTGTCCGTATGAGTTAATGTTTTCTGGAAGTCAAATATTAAACAAGGTTGATAGTAGTACTGTTAAGCTCTGAAATTTTTTTGTATTATTATTATTATTATTATTTTAAATTCATTTATGATTTATTTATTTTGAAAACAAATAAAACAAAAAAAAATATGTTCTGTATAATAAAGTAAGAGAATTCATAAGAATACAGGAATTTCGAAAAGGGAGGGGGTAATGGGGGGGGGGGGGCTAAACAAGTTCAATTTATCAGTAAAAGAAATGTAAATGTGACTCCCAAAAAATAAAATATCTTTAGACTTTATAACGGAAGACCTAAAGTTTATATTATACACAATGTTATATTATACACAATATAATCACAAATATATAGGAGTATTCCTTTACCGTTTCATTGTTGTAGATATTTGTAAACTTCATCTCTATTCCACTTCTGTCTATTGTGATCCTCTCGGGATTTACACAGATTTTATTCATACAGTTAATACTCCTGGGTAGAACGAACTCTGTGGCACAGCTACCGTTAAAAACCTGTCCCTCGGAGGACAGGGTGAATTTCTTCCATGGAAGGAGGGACCATCCTCGACCACACCCCCACACCTTGTTTTGATAAAATTCATACAGCGGCATTTTGCCTGGATCCTGCCATACCAAACCACTTTTGTTCATTATTACTATAAAAAGATAAATATTTAAAGTTAAAACTTAAAAGGACTTGTTGCTCAAACATACAGAAAACAAAAACTTAATCAAAACAAAACAAACCAAAACAACAACAACAACAAAACAAAAACAAAAACATCAACAACAACAACAACAAAAAAAACAAAACAAAAAAAAAAAAAAAACAAAAACAAAACATAATCAACATACAATATAAACGTGTGTATAGGATAAAATTATCTTGACTATTTTTCCAGTTATGATCATTTTTTTTAATCCAAGCAGAACTTATTGTATATTATTTGGAGCATATTATATATTCATATTTTATTAATGATTATATTATCAATACAGAACAGGTAAATCTATTCAAAATACCATCCTTATGGTAGGATGTAAAAAAAAAAAAAAAAAAAAAAAAAAATCAGATAAGAAATGTATATAACGTCAAGTGCTAGTGGAAATATTCAATTTTTGTTTTGTTTTCACTTCTGTTTATTTATTTATTTTGGAAAGGGATCGACAAAGGGGGGGGGGGGGGTGGGTTACAATTCAACTAGAGTTTGGAATATCTTAATATAAGCGGTTAATAAAATCTTACATATTTAAATCCGCGTATTTTACACGTAAATGCTTTACCAAAAGGCTCATGAGCCACAACACTCACCTGAGTCATCCTGCAAACATAAATACTAAGATATGCTGATGTCTGCACGGGCTTAAACCTGCAATACATTGGGATATTTGCGCGTATACTAATTGACATTGAGTCACTCTAGTCTTGCTGTTCTTGGAAAGATGTTTTGTCAAAGATTGTTCTTACACTGTATACAGTCCTATGAAAAACTACAACCCATGCACTGTGGCTCTCCTGAAGAGATGATTTCAGCAAACGTCAAAGAGGCCGTCACCAGGGTTCTGCAGAAAAAGAGGGTTCGGGGAAGAGTTTTAAAGGGCGTATACCCTCTCCTAAGCCAGAAAATATTCATTAAAGTTGGATTCTGTTGAATTCTGGGAGTCATTTTTTAGAGGTATTTCATATACTTAAAAAATATATATATATAAGTAATTAAGTTTTTTTCCCCCAAAAATAAAAAAAAAAAAATCGTGATTTTTTTAAGGGAAGGGTGCAATTGCACCCAAAGTAACGCCACCCCATTTTGACGTCTTATTCAATCTACGCATATTAATTTTACTATCTGGTGTTTCCCTACATTCTAAGTAAAAGGTAAACCCACTATTAATATTGTGACCCCATCCTGCAGCTGTTATTGTATCACACGAAGACATGATAACAGATTTGAAATAACTTTATTGCACGCAGTTTAAAATAACTTTATTGCACGCAGTTCAAAATAACTTTATTGCACGCAGTTTAGTTAAGCTGTCACATTCTTTCTGCCAAATTGTTCTTGAAAAGATATCTAAATAACTCCACTTCATTTTCGCTATGCCATAAATAACAGTGTAATCATTGAGAGTGGTTGTCGTCCTTCTTTTGAAGAACCTTAAATTCACTTTACCCAATGACACGCTGAGGCGAATTGTTGAAATTAACCCAATCATGAATGCACTATAAAAGAACTCCAAAATTTGAAAGTTTTAACATCTGTACATCTAGACAAATGGAGAGATAGAGAGAGATACGGACAAACTTCAGTCAGAAAATTTCACCCTAGCTGTGGCCCGTATGAGTTAATTCCATGCTATTATACTATGCATATTTTTATGTACAAGTATGTGCATACATGTCGTTTTTAACGGATTTTCGAACGAATATGCAAATTAAAATTAAATCAATTTTCCATCAGATACATGTACCCTAATTGTTACGGAGATGTTTTCGTTAAGTACGACTTTGAGGTATAGGCCTTAATTAATTTGGATAATTAAAGACCTACAGGATGTGAGGGATATATGACCAGGCCAGGGGTTGATGCAACTAAATGTATATTCATGTAAGTATTATGTGTACACATGGACGTATATCAGTTTATAGGATCATGTCGGTACAAAATTTAGGTTTATTAAAGGTAAATCTAATCAATCCCGCGAAGGTATTTTTCAGCCTATAGGTTTGTGATTAAATTATAACATTCACAGACACGTACGCCAAAGTATGATTAAGGTACGGAAACCATGTGCTGTACCGTAAATAGTACATTTACGTCACAAGCATGCAGGTTCTCTCTCTCTCTCTCTCTCTCTCTCTCTGTACGTTTATACATGTATATCAATTAAATCAAAGACGACTGAAATACATCTTCAGTTAAGCCATAATCCTGATGTATTAACATTGATCATATAGGTTATTACGTATGTTATTAGAATTAATTTTTAAATCTGATTTCATTGAAAACTATTGAAAAATAAACTTACTATGGATATTCTTCATTTCCATTGGCGCAGCGCTCACCACGCCCAGTGTGACAGCGGCTAAGAAGAAGATCCGTGGGTCCATATCGAGAATTTCTCTGAGAGAGGCTCCCTCTGCAGCTGAAGGTCACCAGGACACAGTAGAGGAGGATCAAATCTATAGAATATAGTACCTTATTAATTAGCAGTTCTTGTTAACTACAGACAGATGTTGATTTACATGTAGATACATAGATCAATTAATGCTTCGGGAAATTCGGGGTCAGAGTATACTTACCAAAATTCGTCCAACATTATCGCTAAAAGGGGCCTTTTTACTTTGGCACCAATATATTCCATGTAGACAACGAGAAATCAATGGTCCAGATTGTGTGTATATAAGAAAACGTCAAAGCCAGAGAAATACACAGGGAATTTAAACTTTCAGTAAGTACATATATTAATCTTTTTATTATTACTACAGTTATGTTTACACTTTAAATACTTTTTTTTTTTAAAATGAGGAGTTATTACGATAGGAAAAATTCTGAATGGGTTTTTCTGAAGTACAATCTTTCAATTGCAGCGAGTGGTACGTAATATCGTGGATTCACGAGAACTGCATTGTTCACAAAATCTTTCCCATCAATACTTTCTTTCATTGCAAAAAAAAAAAATAATTAAAATCTTATGTAAACATGTATATACTATAAAGTATATATATATATATATATATATATATATATATATATATATATATATATATATATATATATATATATACATGCATATTGCCAAATTAAAATAATAATAATTTATCCATTTATATGAAGTTGGTATAAAGTAAACCTTGTGAAAAACTAGTCGCCCCCGTGTCCAGAATGCAGTGCAGTGCTAACAGTATCCCAATACAGTGACCAAGCGTGCATGAAACACTGGATGCCGGGATATTTCTATATAAAATATACTCATGTCATTGACTCGGTCTTTTCAATGTCAGAGACAAATGGTCGAAACAAATTGCTAATATTGGCAGTACACCAAAATTATTTCATGAAAGAAAATTTTGAAATCTTCATTTTTGCGATGAACACTTAGAAGCATTTTTTTCTCAAAATAATAAAAAAGTTTTTCTCTTAGAATCTAAAGACCTACCTGAAAAAATTTCCTTTAGTTATAAATCTTTATCCAGCTGACATATGCAGTTTTTCACTTAATACATTTAAACTGGGATCACCGACGTTTACTTAGTGAGAGTATAAGTACCCCATCAGTATTTGATTTACAAACTCCGGCACATAATTACCACTTACCAGAAAACAGCTAAAAATAAGGAAAGACCAGTCTCCTAGTGCGAGTTTAGACTAGCCAGCGTAATACTTCAAATGTATACACGTAGCTTATACTCAAAAGTCATAAATACGGATTCTATACTTTGATATGTTTGTAGGAGTTCTTAAAGGGACGCATTATGTTCAAACGGACGTCGGACGAGTGCATTTATCGATCAGGGTATTAAATTCATTTAAATTAAACTTAACCTTTTTTCGAAATCATTATTATATCTTGTATTGTTAGCTATCTGATCAATTTAGTATCCGATTTAAATTTTTGATAATGTGTGTACTTTATTTCTGTAGCGATGGACGGACTTTGTGAAGGTGAAACAAAATGTGAAAAAATGAAGGAATTAAATCGGAACATTTCCATGCAGCCTCAATGACAGTATGAATTTTGAATTCAGACGAAGTAATGAACAACGGATTTTTTTAGAGCTACTTAGAATGTCTTAGTGACCAGGAACTAGCTGTAAGTACAGACCTAGGTTTTGATTTCTTTTGTACATATTTATCAATGAAATCATGCAAGCATTGAACATTGTTAGAGGAAAGAGTTTCCAAAATGCCCATAATCCGTGTAAACATGTCACAACGACAAAGCCTGATTTATTGCGATTTGCTCTCGAGTTAATTTTCTCTAAAGTGTATTAAAGCATATTATAGCTTAGTTACCATATCCACGAATGTTAATCTCTCTACATAGAATACCAAAATATTGTACGTTTAAGCTTTCTGTTTAAAAGCGGCTTAATTATAGCCATTTTGACGATTATATTATTCACACTAAGCAGGAACTAGCCATTTTTTATGTGCTCTGTATTAACTATCATTAAGACATTCTTCACATATACACGATTCAGTGGATCCAAGGGAACCCCCACCCCCGGATAAATTAATATAAGGTAACTAAATAATGACCTTGGAACCCCATCCCCTCATAGGGGATATATATGATATTAATTAAATCGGCTTGTGCATATAAGATGTCCCTCTCCCCCTCTCCATTTTTTTAACACAGCCACTTTTTCGCGTTTGAACATTTCCCGGGGGGGGGGGGGTTGAGTAGGAATGGACCCCCTTGAAAAAAAATTGCTGGATCCTCCCTTGCAATGTAGCTAGAGTCCATGTTATTTTTATAACGTCCATTGGCTGTATCCCAGCGCTTACCTAATCAATGAACAGAACCCCTTGTCTGTCTGTGAAGGTTCATGTTTCTTTTTCCAGAATTGCAACATCTCACCAGTGTTATTTTTAGAATTTTTGGCTTCATATTTAGAATTTGTATTTATGATCCTTAGAACTGTAAACCATGTTTTCATGTTTCCCTCACGATTATGCAGTGAATTGATTAAACGCCAAGCTTTTAAAAATAAACATTGACGTTCAAATTCGGCACCGCTTTCAGATTCGATCACTTTCAGTTATTTAAGAAAAAGTCTCTGAAATACTTTACTAAAGTTCCTTGGACACTTCACAGACAATTGTCTTACATTTCTTTCCTTTTTTCCCCTATACAAGCACATGTATCTTTATAATGTATCTTTATAATGTCTTATTTCGTCACTATTTGGTAGATATAAAACCTTTCTAATATTGCAAGTTTTGTGACATCTGCTGCTCTCGGAAGTTTTTGTTCAACGACAATAAGTATTGCGGCGGAAAAATCATGAGGTCTTCGAAGTGGTTGAATACGATGAAAAGCAGACGACGACGGAAAATAAGAAGTTTTAAGGCTCTGTCACGTGACTGTCTAGAACAAATCAGATAACGCATTGTATAAAATAATTATCTTGATTATAATAAAGTATAATAAATTCGTTTATAGTACTTCCTCGAACAACTTCGATGACCATGAGATATATAAGAAAGAATTTTTCTTAAGGTCAAGATCTAGTAAATGACTTTAGACTGTGTTTTTGGTGCTAGATCCATTACATGACGTCATAAACAATTTAAACTTTCCATTTCCCGTACTTTACAGCTCAAATAGAATATATGAAGAAAATAAAGTATTTTAATGGAATTCAATTTGAAATCATGTGAAAAGTAATCCCGATACCTATATTCAATTTTACATTATTTTAAAGAAGAGGCTAAGAACATACAAATTACCGTTTTCTGAGAGACTGTAGGCAATCTGGATACATTTCCTTTGTCTGATATGGAAAAAACTCCCATATTCATGACTGGCTTTCTTAATTTTTCATTGAAAATTACGGTTTACAAAATGATTTTTCGTCTTGTTTTTCTACAAATTATGCCCCGATACACCTTATTTGACCGAGCTTTAGTTATAAAGCATCATAAAAGGAATTTATTTCTCAAGTTTGAGAAATCTGTAGGCTCTTTTCATTTACTAGATCTTGACCTTAATACATGACTTTAAGAAAAAGCACAAACCTTTCAACTTTTATTAGCTTAAGCATGACACGTGACAGCCGACTATATTTCTATGTCCGGCAGGTGAGAATTAGTATTTGGCAATATGATCACCCATTCCGACATTGGGAATCATTTATTACAAGAATCAGTCTCCATTAATATCACAGTAGCGGCCTTTTTAAGAAATGACGCAACATTAAATTGTGCACAAGTGTTAGTAGCGTCGGGAAGGGGGAAACGTTTGAAATTAAGCAGCACCTTTGAGTTTTACATATATATGTATAGGGTGAAATGCCTCTTCAATTCCATCCAAGGACATATTTCTTTCTTAAGAGATCATAACATTAATCTGAGAGTCTGTAAAGCTCCCTCTGTGTGCTTACTTGTTATAAGAGAACTGATTCAGTCTTCATTATGTTCATTCAACATTGCACCTATACTACCAAATTCATTTTGTGAAGATAGGAATTCTCATCCCTCAGTAAGTTCTTATTCCCTATTTTGCCTTTCACTAATACTTTAAGGTTCATTGATACTCTGATAAGAGAAATAACTCTTACTGACATAAATGTCTAATTTTTTTTAAAAAGTTTTTGGTTCAATTTTGCCCCAAAAGCTATGCTTTATTTGTTTTTATTTCAATTATAAAGTACACTTCTTTTGGAAAATCATAAGCGTTAAAGCAAAATTTTATATGAGTGAACAGAGGGTTTATGAACATTAAGTTGTGATGTAAGGGTCTATTCCTATAACTGGTTTCCTTATTTTCTTAAAACTTGACCTGCCTTCTAAAAAGTGTGTGTAGAGTATAAGTAATTTTTAATGTTAAAGAACCAATGTCTAAAAATTATCATTGAACAGTCTAAAATAACTCTTATTGGGGAAAAGGATTCATATCACCAAAACCTATGATGCCACATAAAACAAACTTGTAGAAGTTCTACATTTATCTTTTGAGTAACAAAATGTCAAAACACAATAGGAGATTAAATCAAAAATTTATTATTACAAGTGTGTAAAAGCACCCACTTCGCTTGCAGTCAGATGTTATGTACACAAATGTGACACAATTTTGCCAGGGTAAAAAAATTAAAAACAATATTTTTTTCTTTTTGTTGACAAAAGTATTTCCAGTTCACAAATATGAAATTTGTTTACAGAGATTGGATTTCTTATGTAAAACACAAACCAAAAATAACTTTACTCCGAAAATATGTTGATTTATGTGGAGTCCTTTTTAAAAACAATATATTTTAGTAAAAAGAAAATACCATACAAAAATTGCATCGAAAGACAATATATCAAAAACATTGACTGTCTTAATGTTGCAGGAGTTATCTTTCTTGAAATGTGCTGATGACAAAAATAAACATCTGACCAAAACCGATTGCACATTCTGTATTATATATGATAATTGTACTCGTTATAAATCAAGCATGGATGGAAATGTTCAGGCAGACACAACCTGGTGATACAACCTAGGTATACTATATACCACAAGTAGGCAAAAAAATAAACTCTAAATATCTACACAACCAGTCTACAAAATGGAAAGGAGGGGGGGGGGGGGTATCATTGAATCATATGTGGTATTGCATCAAAGTTTTACAAAAACAGTAAAAATTTGCTTTTTCCTGATAACAGTAATAACGTATTTTGCCCACAATATGTATAACAGCCACAACTTACCAGTGATCAAAAATATAAACTTGATTATTTTTAAAATAATGCCAGGTGACTTTTAAAATATCTTTCAATGGCTAAGAGAAATCAGAATACGCGAAGATGTTAACAAAGGGCTCTCTTTTTCTTAATTTGGGAAATAATCATTTGGTTCTGAATCCCCGCCCCCAGCTACATGGACTCACTGTTGACAGCCCTAGTTTATTCTATCTTCACAGACAGACATACTGTAACCACACATGGATCTAACACACACATACACACACTATACAGAGACACTTTAATAAAGGAGTAAGTTATCATTCAGGTTAACAACGGAACCTATCTAGAGCACCTAATCTACAAGGAATTTCATTGTATATGTGAAAACAATGCCACAATGCTTATGAGACCCAGTAACATTGATGAAATTCTACCATAACCTGCTGTACACACTGAGCTAGTATGAAAAAAGCACATTATCCCCCTTAAATGCGTGAAGAATAAAATATATCACTTTTTTTTCTTCTAAAAATACAACCAGACATATTGTAAAAAGTTGTGTTTTCACAATCACTTAATTCATAAAAGATAAAATGGTTAAAATAACAATGTATATATCAAAGAAACTGATCAACAGAGACTGAATACACAGTTGTATATACGTAACTCTTAATGATGCGTACTTGAGCAGAGTATACATTAATATAATCACTTCGTGATTTGTAACTTCTCAAAGTTTGAAACAGACCTCTCATTCAAGTAATCTTCTGAACACAAAAACTAGATATCAAATCCTCCATTTTAAAACAAACTATCTTGATTATATAAAATATTATAATTAAAAATGTAATTTGTAAATGCCAATTTTCAAAATATCACTACAGGGGAAAATAATTGACTCATTTAAAACTTCAACAACAATTCTAAAAAAAAAAAAAAAATATCATGAATATCACTAGTGAACAACCCCTGATCAATGCAAACAAATCAAGTTTAAAATTATGAGTTGCATCAGTATATCAGAAAAATATCCCAATTTTCTTTGACAAAATAAATCAACTTTCATTATGATAAACCCTTAATTAAGCTATTAATTATGATAAACCCTTAATTAATCTATTAATTATGACAGAATAATCATCTGAAGGAATGGTTCAGGGTGATGACGGTCCTTTCTCTACTCCTCGCCCTTCTCCTCTTTTTCCTCCTTCTCGGCCGGCTCCTCGTTGATCTTAATGGTGGGGGAACCGTGGTCATCCTGGGTCACCACCGCGGCAGCAGCTGGGGCGGCGGAGGAAACCAGGGGCTGTAACTCTGAATCGTCAGTCTTCTTGTAATGTCCCTCCACACGTTTGTCCTTGGCTACCTGCTCTCCCATTGTCTTCTTCTCTTTGCTGAAGGTTTCCTCTGTTAAAAAGAGATAACAGTTAATAGATATACTTCTCGTAAATGAAATTTCAGTGAAATACAGTTATAGCAAACTTCTCTGGACAAACAAAAGTTTAAAGTTACACTAATTGGTTACATCCTGCTAATATTTCATTATTTTTGACAACTTGTTGACACAAACTGTGTTTGCATCGAGTATATATCAACAGTGTTTCAACATATTTTAGTGCTGTATTTTGAGTTTTCTCCCATGGGAATTATTTTACTCACCACTGAAAGTACACGGGGAAAGTATTTATAATGAAGATTACATGTAGTAAAAGGACTGTGTCCACTGTTTAATTGAATTAATCATATGTACCAAGTTTGGATGTTTTTGGTTGATTTCTCCTCTTGCGTCCCTGGGGGTTGTTCTTGTAATAGCAGTAGGTGATGAGGAGCAGGACAAGGAACATGCAGCAGATGATGATAGCAACGATGACTCCGTAGACGATGTTCATAGTGCCTGCTGCCTCTAGTTCATCAGCTTTGCTGAAGTCCATGGAATCTAAATGAGAATTATCACCTCCTTTAACAACAGAATTAGACTTGACCTGAAAATGGCTTCAAAAGAAAATTTTTGAAGTTCAGCACTTCATTTTCATATTAAATTTGGCTTCTGAGTTACAAGTCAACACTTAATATCTGATATTTATGTTTTATTGTCTGATTATTCTCTTTGTAAACACGATAGTTACTTACCCTTGTTGGAAGCCTCTACGAGCCCTTTAGGGTAGCCTGGACATTCGGGGTACAGAGCAAACTTAAAGCTGTAGGGTTTATCTGGAACTTTGCCATCAGCCCACTTCATGGTGTATGTTTTAGTCTCCAACACTTGAATTTCCACTGTTATGCCCTCAAAGCATGTTGCTGTCATCTTTTCATCACCATACTTCATCATGATCTAAAGTTTGAAGAAAAAAAAATGTATTCAGCTGAAATTGCTGGTATTAAAAAAGAGATGAGGATTTAAACTTTTTATCCTAGCTTTGAAGTATAGTTTACTTTGTAAAAGTGCAAGGATGTGTCAATCAAACATGTCCTGAAATTCGTAGTTTCAATAATTTCCAGATTAAATAATTTTTTTAATTACATTTCCATGTGCAATGCTATAGCAACATATAAGTCATGATATTATACAGAAAATTTGAGAAAATATTAAATTCAAATCTGTGTCTAGGCCCCTTTAAATAAGACTGCTTACAAGGATTTTCTTTCATCTTTTTGGGAATATAATCAAGGGCAATGGGATTAAAACACTTAGAGCAATTTGTAAGTAATTCCTTATTCCTTACATTATTTTGCAGAAAGCATAGCATGTGCACAGTATATGCATGAAAATAATAGAGTAAGAGTATTTACTGATTACATAATAAGAGACTTTGCGTATTTTTTAAAGTTAATCATTAACAACAACCCCCCCCCCCCCCCCCCTACTTTTTTTTATTTATTCATTATAATTATTTATTTATTTTTTCAACTAAAAAACTGAAAGATACGCTAATTTTGCTATGAAAAATTAGAGAGAAAACAGAAGTAGAAAATTATGAAGAAATCAGGAAAATGTGAGCTTTAAATTATCATATGTGGTATAAAATTTCAATTTCCTTTTGTTGAAATACTATATATCTATAGCTAAGTAACAATGAACATCTTACAGTCTCTTTTTCCCCTGTGAAGGTGATATTCATGACATCAGCATCAAGGGTCCACTCATCCACTCTCACGCAGATCTTGTCTACACACTTTGAAGACTTCTGGAGCACCACGGTGGTGCTGCAGTTGCCACCAACGGCCCGGCCATTGGACACCAACTCGTACTTATATCCCCCTGTGACAGGCAATGTCCATCTTCTTGAACATTTGCCTTGATAACTGCCAACATTTTCCATGTAGTCTAGAAAATTGAAGCAATAACATTCATTTCAAGTCTTGCTGATTTTAAATGCAATGCCATAATTTTAATGTATTGCTACAAGAGGAAAAGATGAAAAGCATCTCTTACTCAAATTCTACATATGTACCTGCATGATTTATAGCATTTGTCATGTGTTTATTCTGTTTCTACTTTTCTGTTTCATTGTTTCTACTTTTAGTTTACTTACAGGTCATATTCTGTGGCTTCATTGGAGCTGCGTAGAGAGGAACCGCCGCCAGAACCACCACCAGACAGGGGAGGAAACTCTTCATTGTGCTAGTGTCAGTTATCTCTCCTACAAAACATCACAGTAAGCACTGTATACAAAATGATGCAGTAATTTAACAAATGTCGATATTCGATTTCATGCTCCTAAACTCCGAATGTTTATAAAAAAAGAAGAAAAGGTGTCTTTATCACCCCCCCCCCCAATTTTTTTTTCTAGGATCAATTTTAATATGCAGACGGTATTTTTTCATTATTAATACAGTCTGAGAAAAAGGAATTACATTGTTCCAACCCCCCCCCCCCCCCCCCCCCCCAAACAAACAATGCTCTCTGAATATAAACATTAACTTGGATATTTTATTTCAGATAAGCTGAGATGTCCTAGAAATGTACAACACCAGACCAAACACACAACAGAACTGGGGGGTTACATGACATTTCATTTAGCTTGGATCCCTCCATCAGATGATTAATATCCCCCAGCAGATATATAATCAATTCTACTATAGAGCTTTTCCTGAAACATTGAGTTGCTCTAACATGAAAAGTTAGCAATCACTTTGATGTCCAAATGTGGTAAAAAAAATAGTCTACTTCTAAATATAAAGCAAAGTATTGGCAATTATTCTGTATACAACCATGTTAGCTATTCACATAATTGTGATCCTGTATTGTAAGGCATGACAAAAAGCTTATATGTAATCATATTTTCACTGTGTCAGGTTTTTCTTAATAATATTTTGAAAAACACCATTTAGGCCATGGCTGTGGAATGGGGGAGAGGAGGGGGTTCATCTTTTTTTTTTTTTTCCCAAAAACTTTTATTTCAGTTCTTAAGCCTCACCCCTTCTTCTCAACAAAGGAAGAAAATTGAAGCCTTATACCATATATCATTTATTATGGTTATATTCTGAAAGTTATCATCAATACCACACAAGTTTCAGTGGAAATTCAAACAAAGTCTGTGTTGTACAGTTCTGTATACAATGAAAGTCCAGTAATATCTGACACTTTGAGACAAGCTACTGTTTTCATTCAATTACCATCTGCAAAATTATAAATTATTCAGTTTCTTTTGTGCTATCCATAACTTCTTTAACTGCAGATGTCTGTTTTTGTCATAATTTATGTGACAACTTGTCATGAGTCTGCTCATGCGTAACAGTTTGTTTAATGAATAATAAAGCAATGCGAAACAGTCATTTCGTGAGAGGAATACGGTTATGCAATGACAATTGGTCCGCACAGGGATAACAAAACTTAAGTTTCATGTCAAATTATGACTAAAATGTGAATAATTTTCTTAAAGAATATTTTTAAGGACTTCGGTCTTAGCTTGTATGGAATTAATTTTCTGAACAATACTTCTATCAGACAAGAAAGAATGAACTTTTCTGATTTGTATAAATTAATTAAAATGTAACAATTGATGATGATGTCTGTTTTAATTTAATCAGGTACATCAGTTAAGACAGAGTACATATGTATTGATTATTTTGATATTGATCTTTGATCATTATTCATAAACAATGCAATATCTCTGGAAGCATTAAAAATTTATGAGTTAAAGTATAAAATAAAACTTTTCTCTGAGTTTATTGCAAAGGGACTGAAAAAATAAGTTATAAATAGGGGTAACTCAGTCTCTTTCTTGTCCAACTTAACATGGTGTTACAAGTTGCCATTGTCATGGTCTTACAAAAGTTGTTAGAATATTAAATTCGATTCCATTGACTCCCTAGCTGTACCTTAAAATTCTGCAATACTGTAACAGGAGGGAGAGACTAGCATTATAAGAATACACTCTAAACAAGTGTTTTCTCTACTGAAATTTCAAGCCTTAGTCAATCAATCTACTAGACATTCCATCTGATGTCAACATGTTTTAAAGTAAACCCTGTGGTATGTGAAATTAAAGTTGTCACTTCAAGGTATTTTTTGTCTCACATTTTTTCATGTTCTGCTTAAGGGTACAAAGCCATCACTGTATGTGTGAAACGAGTTCAAAATAAATATATACACATTCCAATATATGGTGTTGAAATGACCCTGTTTTAATGTTGAAACTTTTTTCCTTTTTCATATAAGTTGAATTAATAACTATAAAGAAATAATAATTTCTACAGTAAACATGTATTAAAATGTATTAATAAATTCTTTTTCTATCACTATTTATACAGACATTTCAAAATTCCTCATTAGATTTTATAAGAATCTTGGGGAAAGAGGAGGGGAGAGAATCCAATAGAATGAATGTGTAAATTGTTGTGGTTAATAAAACAAGGCACTAATTATAAAAACAGGTGCCTTCTATACAAACTTGGTAAATATTAGTTACCTGTGTGCCACCTGCATAAATGTTGTTATATACTTAACTATAGTAACAGTATATATACATGTATCCCACAACAATTTACTGGATAAAAATAGAAGATAATAGACCAATGATCAGCTAATTATTAACTTTCTGATGCCTTTGTGTAAGATGACAGTTGATGACAAATGAGCATCATACTTCCCTCATTAAGTATAAATGTGGGTCAAGGTATGCAAGGATGTCCTGTCAAAACATATACGTATTAGGCCTATAGTATAGTAGAAATTAGCGTCCTGCGTTTTGTGCATCAAGCTATTAAACATGGGGTCTACATTATAAACCTGCTTCCTATATATTCTTACTTCAGAGATTTACACTCATACGTAACAAATGTCTCATTCTTGTATGCCTCGAGGGGAGAATAACCAACACCTGTTTTTGTTACACACGGTAGTACCTGGGGTGCGTTGTTTTTAGATTGTCTTTGATTACGACATCCTAGACCGAGTCAACCGTGAGACACGCTTTGGAGGCGCAAGAATCCCCCCGGTCACCCTGACAAAATTTCTTGGCAAAAAATCTCAGAATAATATGACCAACATTCTACCATTCCCCTCTGAAAATCGTACTGCAACATTCAATCTCAAATCTCACAGGAACTGAATTCTAACTACACCAACAATCGCAGATCACCTACCTGCAACATTTCACCTTCAAATCACCCGTGTGCTCATATATTTTCAATGCATGCACTCGGAATGTAAGAAATTTCACACATAATCAAATGAAATAACTCTGAATATTACCGATTTGTTCTTCCCTTTTCTCAGTGCAATGTTAACAGATCAAGCATGGAATTTAGAGTATGTTAAATCTCACGTGCAAACGTATTTAGGAACTCACCTCTGTTCTTTCGAAATCAAGACCTGATCACACACACAATACGCTGTGCAAGTCCGCCGCCGACCTATTTCCTTTCACAAAGAGCTACAATTCGATAACTGCGCGATACTCCGACTGATAGTGTAAACAACCACGAAGGGGCACCTGAGGGGAAGTTTTCTGGCTTTAAATAGGGGAAGAGTAGACTTGGACTAGATCTATCCGGGAACGCATATACGTCCCTAGATCTAAAATCTTTTTATTAAAAATATTCTAAATGCCATTTATCATAAGTTCTTTGTTATTATTATTTTGAATGAAATTCGCTCAAGAAAGCAAAAATTGCTTAACGTTTTATTTCATGAATATTCAAAGTATCTTTCAGAATACTAGCCTATATTTCATCATTTACTAAGTTAAGCTTAATTAAATGATTTTATTTTGCCTTAATTTACATTAATTTGGAAATTAGCAATTTCACAATTTCAATTCAAAATTCCTCACAAAATACAGCAATATAGTATTCTAAAACACACTCACACTGATAACATGAAAAAGGACATGTTTCTTAAAGATTCTATCCATAAATTAAAAAAAAAAAGAAACAAACAAACAAACAAACAAAAGCAAACAAACATTTTTTTATTTGAAAAAATAAAAGTTCTATATGACTCTTCTTGATTATTTTACTTAGATATATTTAGATATATTTATGTTATGCATCAATTCACAGCAAATCTGCAGCTCTTAAATGATTTATGCACATGCAAACAGCCCTATTTCAGATTTTCTATTAAAAAAAAAATCGTGTACAGTAATTAACAACATGCCTATGTTGGTTTTTAACACTGGCCTTGAGATCGTTTTAATTCGACTGACAAACTGGGGGTATATATATATATATATATATATATATAGTTATATATATATATATATATATATATATATATATATATATATATATATATATATATATATATATATATATATATATATATATATATATATATATATATATATATATACCCCAGTTTGTCAGTTGGAATAAAAAGATCTAAAGGACTATGTTTTAATTTTAATGATGAAAGAATGTTTAAAGAATATAAAAAGATCCATAAATTAACATTCTGATTTTTTGTAATGGTATTGAATTTCTTATTTCTTTAAATGAAATAAGAAGATAACGAACAGTAATCAAGCTCAAAAATTCATTAAGACAATACAAATTGTGAGCAGAGCAAACACGGACCTTAAAAAAATCAAAAGGTAGGATTAGGTGTCATGGAGAAGTAAGCATTCCCTTGAATGATCATGGCCATTCCATGACCACCGGTCACACCCGCCATGTGCTCTTTGTCGTTATCGGGTAAACGGATAAAAAACTGAAAAGAAATCATTTAACTATAGTGCAAGTGACACTGTGATGCACACATACTCTGGCCACTTTGGTATAGACATGAAATAGCCAAAATTGATTTCATTTTTGTTTAAATTTTGTATTAAAGACTTAATTGATAATTATGCCAAACCAAAAAATAAATAATGATTTTGTGCGTCATGTTATGCTTTAATTCACTTCATGCGTAAATAATATGAATCGTCAGTTCATCACTCTTGCCCAGGTACAATGAAAACTTCCATATAGTGGAATTACACTTCGACTGACAAAAACACAACTATACTTGTGAGAGCTTGTAGAATTTTTACTTATATAACGATTTAAAGAAATTCAGAATGGCATGATTTTGGGGCAGTCATCAAATATACATGCTGTACATGTTCTGACGGGATAAAGGATCGAGACACTAAATGCAAGATTGGGATTATACAGTTATCGTCATCTCAGCGATGGTCTAGACTCACAATTAATATATATTACAAGTCTTCACGACTTCATAATTTATATACATGTATATGCTCTAGAACATTAAATACTGTTATTCTTCTCTCTCCTCCATTAACATGCAATAGATAAAGGTCATGAGTTTATTTTCCTCTCTGAAAATTAACCGCACCCCCCCCCCCCCCAAATAAGAATCTTGAATACTAGTAATATAAAGCAGAACAAGGAATTGGTATATACACGGGCGTAAATTTTGAGATGTCGGCTTAAAAATGGTGCTTCCAGAAATTACTGAGAATTTTTTTATATGCATTTTGCCTGAAATGTTGGATTACTAACATACAAAATGACTTAATGTTACTCTTTTATTTAATGTTCATAGGGAAACATGGCTGGAATCAAATACGCCTATCGAGTCAGTATCATGACTAGATACCAACCGTCACAGTTCAAGTCCCGTACGAACCGAAAAGGGGGGAAGCTATTTACATCAAAGACAGAATCCCATTCAGATCTTGTGACGGATTAAACAATTACAATCTTGAGACTATATGGATCACTATTCAACCTCAGCGCCTCCCCTCACGACAGGTTTCGGTGATCTTTATTGAAGGATTCTACCATCCCTCTACCATCCCCCAGATGAAAAAGATGGACCCATGGTATCTCATATCCCAGCAACCTTGGAGAAGATCCTGCAGAAACATCTAGATGCAGGCATAATACTGACAGGTGATCTTAACCAGCTGACACATCATGCCCTCATTAGCAGTTTTAACCAGATAGTGAAAATATACCAAAAAGGAGAAGAAAGACACTTGATAAAATTTTAAACAACTTCAAAATGTACAATATAAGGACCCGATTTCGATTGGAGCTCTCGGAACATCGGACCATGAAACTGTTATTACCATTCTAAGTGAATTTGAAGCACAGAAACCAAATGTTGTGCACAGAACTTCAAGACATGCTACCGTGATCCCCCCGCTCCCCCCCCCCCCAAAAAAAAATGGAGGTCGCAAGAGCACTAGAGGGTGTTAAGTGGGAAGTCTTGTATTCCTTAACAACATGTGAGCAACAATTGGAATTCTCTAATTCAGTCATCAGTGAAATCATGGACATATATGTACTGGTCACTCAAAACCAAGATCATGAGGTCGAATGACAAACCATGGGTGACTCAAGAATTTAAGGTACTTGTATCTAAACGTCAAGCAGCCCAAAGCCAGTGGAAATTAATAACTACATAACCAGCTAAGGAACTCAACAGAAAATCCGAAGCCCTGAGGTCAGACTTCTATAGAAGATCTGTAGACGAGAAACAACAAACAGTAGTGGTGGAAAACAGTTAAATCATTCTTAGGACTTGAAAGTAAAAACGACACTTTTCAGAATCTAGCTAACAGCAGATTTGAAGGAAACACCGCGAAGCTTGCAGATGAAATAAACAACGCATACACATCAGAGCCTATAGCTTTGGAAATTTTGATGTTGGAAACTTAGAATTCAAAAATTGGAATCTAACCAACAATTTAAAAATTGCCCAAGCAGGAAGTTTTCTACTTTTGTTGAAAGGAGATTATGCCCAAAAGATTATGAGCAACAAAGGTGCATGGTCGAACAATAAGCAATGAGAAAGCAAAACGCCAGCGGATTGCCAAAAAAGTGTTCTATACAATATTCTCCAAAATATCATATAAACTTTTTTGAGTCGCTCTGTTTCAAATGAGTCATATATATTTATATAATGTCGCTTTCTTTTTACTGGATCTCCAAACAAGAATTAAAAGTAAATATTAAAGAACCCTACAAAATAAAAGCTCGAGGTAAATACTTCAAGATATGATCATTATTGCTGTGCTGAAAGTGTCAAGGGAGGAAACGGACAAAAAATCGAGGAACTTTGCTGTTTGAAAACGGAATTAATAAGAATAGGCATAAATTCTCTCATTACGATTTTTTGTGCATGGATTTGAACTACTGACCGATATATTATTATTCTTTATTCGTGGTATTTGCTAAACACACACATTTTATTATAATTTTCTAACATTTGTACACAGAAATATCAGTATGGTATGGTACTCTGTACAGGATAAACATAATACATAAACGTGTAGAAGAAATTTGTATGTTATAACGCTTCTATATACATGAGAAATTATAGCACATACATTGTAAACAAATTACATTGTACATGTAGATAAAAATAAATAAATGAACAGCACGAAGAATGGATCACTTTTTTTATTTCTTAAATTTACAAAAACCAAATGCAAATATTTTTTAAAATTACAAAGCTAAGGAAAGGTTGGGAGACGTAGTAATTGGGTGTGTTCCCATCTCGCCTTAACTGTGAAATATAGGTATGAAAATGTTAAAAAGTTTTAAAGCGAATTCGGAATTTGATTATCCCTTTGTAAAAACAACAACTGTAAATTAATTAAATGTTTATTTTACCGATAAGTGAATTACACAATTAAAAAAGAAATATTTTGAATGTAAAATGAAAACAATTACAGTAAAATATGTAAATATTATCATTGGTCTCTAGAGTCATTGTACAATTAAAAACTAAGAAATTTGCAAAAATTATTCATAAAAATGTGAATTATTTTATGGATGTAGTGTCTTAGAAAATAATAAGTATGGATTAAATGTTTCATGTAAATCTTAAAAGTAAACAACAGTTTGTACACAAAATTGAAGGAATGCAAAGTTTCTCTTAATGATATATTTGATGAATCCTTTTCCGATCCAATGGCATCTATTTCCAAATGTTCTTCCAAAAACTGTGAAAATGTGATGTTTTGATTACAAACTGTTCTTTTACTAGCAATTTGACAGGACATGACTTCTATACCAAAACTGGGGAAAATCTGAACTGCAAATCTGCAAATGTTGTCTACGGAATAGAATGTAACATTTGTGGGCTTATTTATGTTGGTGAAACCAAAGGTTCACTTCATAAAAGAATATCAGGTCACAGATTTCAAATAAAAAAGGGGGCCAGCAGCTTCTCTACAAGCACTTTAATTTACCTGATCATTCTATTTTATCAATGAAAGTTAGAATTCTAGAAAAGATTTACCATCATACTAATAGTCCATCAGTGAGTACACCTTTCCGTAGACAATGAGAAGAATACTGGATTAGGAAATTAGGCACAGCCTTTTCATATGGAAGCAATGACAATGTCGATAGTATTGGGAATCTTTCAAGTCCACAGTGTAGCAATGTGAATGTGATGGGACTTTTTAACAATACTCAGAGACGCAGAATTTATTCAAAAACTTCT